GTACATTAGAGAAGCAAGCTCTATGTGGCAAGGCATCATTGACAAAGGCTCTGAAACAGCAGAGAAACAAAAAAATCACAGAAGCAATGCGTCAACGACCAGCAAGGAAAGCAAGGACTGCTGGAACTTTCTCACAAAGGTTGGGGTACACTCAAAAAGACCTACTTCGTGAGACATGTTGTCCAACCAGGTCGCAGGGTAAAAGTGTTTACTGGTGTTCTGATTGACCACAATAGAAGGTGAGGTGGTAAGCCGGGTCTCAGAGAGGGGGGAGAGATGAGCATAGGACGAATGTGACATTTACCCACATATGAACTTAAAGTGGCTACTAGCCTCTCATGAGTAGGGATGTGAATCAAGAACCAGTTCCAAATCCTTCAGATGCATTGAAATCGTTTGCCATCGAGCTTATCAATTTATCAATGACACATTGCAAAACAATGACATCAAACTCATGCGTCAACACTGCTGAGACTTGCAACAAGGAGGAGTCATAGAGTCAAAGTCATACTACTATAACCCTACATTGTTCGATAAAATAAAAACAGTAAATACAAACAGCTGTGTTGTCTGAAAACCTGTGTAGGCCTACCTTTTTCCGCACAGAAAATTGATCAGGAATAAATAAGGAATTTGCCAAAAACAAATTTGCTGATAAGCAGAAACGTTAATGGTATTGGTATCAATAAAATCTTATCAATTCCCATCCCTATACATGAGCCTGAAACTTGAGGGTGTGTTCAGGCGTTTCAGCAAGTGCCCCAAAACGACACCTGTTAATGTTCAGGTCATAATCCCCTTAAGCAGCCAAAGTAACGATGACGGGAGGAGAGCAACAAGTCAGGTGACATTAGGCTCGTTCAAGATGAGGGTCTGTGCAGAATCGGAAACCAGCGACCGCTGCACAATGCATGCCGGTTGGATTAATGTCTGACTTGATAACCTCAGTTTTTAGAGCCAGTCAGTGCAGTTGCTCTCCACCGACTGCAAGACCCAGGGTATGACAGGAAATACCTAGCGGTCGCCTGATCTAGACGCTGATTGGCTCTTAGTTTTGACAATAAAAGAGCCTAAAAATCTAACAGGAGGTAAACATTTCTGTGACGCCCTGTTTAGTCTTTGAAGGCTGCTGGTAACTTTCCGACTTAACTGCAGCTTTTTGCCACCGCCTCCTGCCTTAACCAAGTAATTTTAACCCAGACCAGGGCGCTTCCGTAACTTTTACAGGGTACTTAATTTAACACAAACCATGATCATTCCCTAAACCTACCTAAGTCAACAATGATTTGTAACTGTTTTGGAAGCCAATAGGGTTGGGCAATTGGACGAATATATCAGCCATCAGAGAGGCAGCAACAGCGTGTAGAGCCAGAGCCACATTTTGTGGTTTGATATTGAGGACCTTAATATTTGCATACCAATTCATTTCCAAAGCTATGTGTTAACAAGTGTGATCAGGTTTTCCTCTTTTATTGGAAGTACTGGTATGTAGTTATGTTGTGTACGAGTTGGAAGGAATTAAAACAAGGACAATTGGTTGTCTCCAGGTTGTCAAACCCATGTGCCAGAGATTATTTACAAGTTGAACCTGCTCAACTTAATGTGTCATGCAGCTCAGTGGCTTTTGAGTCTTGGTGGGTTGTGATAGCATGTATCTGAATTTTAACTCACATTGAATGGCATCTTATTGTGTCTCAAGGTTTTGAATCTGTATGTCTTTTCTAACGCTTTCAGATTTTGGGGTGTAATGCGGAACTGCAGTCACTGGGTGCTAGCAGGGCTACAAAGTTTTTGTCTTCGTACATTCTTTTTCAACTCATTCAATTCTTTAATTGTCCTTGAAATGTTTTTAAAAATCACTACACTGCTGCACTGCAAGGCAGATTTCCCAACACTGACTGTTTCAAATCCACACACAGTCACTTGCGGTGTCCCCCAGGGGTCAGTCCTTGGCCCCATCCTCTTCATCCTCTACCTCACCCCCCTTGGCCAAATCATCAGCCGTCACAAAATTTCATTCCACTGCTATGCCGATGACACACAGCTCTATGTAAATGCCACAACTGCAACCCCACCCTCACAGTCATCCCCATCTAAACTCACCACCTGTCTGGAGGAGATAAAGGTATGGATGGAGCACAACTTCCTTCAACTCAATAGCTCCAAAACCAAAGCCATCCTGGTTGGCACCCCTCACCAGACCAAATCATCATCCATAAACAGCATCATCTTTTCTGGCTCCAACATCCCCCTCTCATCAATAGTCACAAATCTTGGAGTAAAAATGGACTCCCAACTCACTTTTGAAGCCCATATAAATCACCTATGCAAGACCTCCTTCTACCACCTCTGGAACATTTCCACACTCCGCCCCATTCTCTCCCTCTCAGATGCCGAAAAGCTGGTTCATGCCTTTGTCTCCTCCAGACTGAACTACTGTAACGCACTTCTCATTGGGATTCCTGGCAAGAGTCTGCAGAGGCTTCAGTACATCCAAAACTCTGCAGCTAGGATCCTGATGAGAGTGCGGAAACATGAGCACATTACCCCCATTCTCCACTCACTCCACTGGCTTCCCGTCTCCAGCAGGATTGAGTACAAGGTTTCTCTCCTCACACATCAATGCATCCATGGACATGCCCCCCAACTCAAAGAACTTATCAACCCACAAAACACAACATGCTCCCTCCGCTCCACTCACTCAAACCTCCTCCACATACCCAGAACCAGACTCAGGACCACGGGAGATAGGGCCTTTTGTGCTGCTGCTCCACGTCTGTGGATTGCCCTCCCTGACACCTTGAGAGCACCACAATCCACTGACTGTTTTAAAAAGGATCTTAAGACATTTCTTTTTAGCAAAGCTTTTGGTCCCTTTTAGATGTTTTAAAAAAAAAAAAAAAAAAACTTTTATTTTTTATTCTTTTCTCCTTTTCTTATTTTTTTAAAACTGCTCATTTTTTTTGTTTCTAACCTGTAGCACTTTGAGATCTTTTGATGAAAAGGGCATTATAAATAAAATGTATTATTATTTTATTATTATCATTATTGTTTGAAAACTTTTCATGACCTGATCCAGTGTTGGGTTTTTACGACAGAGTAAAACAGAGTTGAAACACTCACATTTTCTTCCTATAGATTTCATGCCACTGATTATAAAGTGATTAAATGTAATGATCTTGGTGTTATCATGTATGTATGATGTAATATTTGCCTGCTCACACTGACAATCCAGGATAAATACAGCGCAGTCTTCCCTTCAGTCCATCTTGTCTTGGCTTCATTTAATACTTTTTATTTGTCAGCTGGCAGACGTATACAGTGCTGCTCCCTCCCCCTATGGCTCAGCTATGAAAGGTGAATGACATTAATTACTGCCCGTCTGCTCGTCAGCACTCAGCGCAGACTTGGATAGATGCCCTGACCTGCTGTCAGTGAGCCTGATGGTAGGCACTTTGATGTGACATGAGAGGAGAACACAGAGCCCACAGATCAGTTTTCTGCCCAGTCTGCTTCAAACATTACATCAGATACAACAGGGTTGATAACGCCACACTGTCTGCATGTCAGACATCCACAGGAGGAATTCCCTCAGGAGAGATACCTCTATGAATTCTCTATTGGGCTTCAGAAGGATACCGTACTCTTATCGAGCTGTATACTGTGGGGCCATACTGCCAAAAAGACTACTAGACTGTACTCTAACCAATCAGTACCAGTTCCACAAAAGTGCATCAGAAAAACAGCAAATCTTTTCCCATATTATTATCTATTAATATATGTATACTGTTTAAGCCAGCAACCTTTACTATCAAAAGATCCTCCTAAAATGTTACACCCTGGACCTTTTTTATAGTGACATGATTGGCTCAAAGTTCACCCGAAGCCCTCAGCAGCAGTGCTAGGGTGACAACCAACGATTACTTTCATTATTGATCAGTTGATTATTTTCTCAATCAATCCATTAGTTGTTTGGTCCATAAAATGTCAGAAAATGGGGGAAAATGTTGATCAGTGTTTTCCAAGCTGACATCCTCAAATGTCTTATTTTGTCCACAACCCAAACATATTCAGTTTCCTGTCATAGAGGACTACAGAAAGCAGTACATATTCACATTGGGGAAATTTTTTTCTTAAGAATGACTTAATGATTAATCATCAACAATCGTTAATTTAAAAGGACCAGTGTGTGGCATTTAGTGCCATCTAGCGGTGATTGCAACTACTTTGTAATGTAGAAACAGGGAAGGCAACCTGTAGCGTCTGTAGATAAAAACAGCTCATTCTAAGGTAACAAAGACACAATGAGTCTTATATTCAGGTAATTATACACTAATGAAAACATATCTATGAATACTATGTTCCATTTCTAAACACTGGACCTTTAATAGTCAACAACTAATCAATTTTAAAGCTTTCACAAACTTGAAATTGTGAAATTATCATTGAATGCTCTGACTGAGCCTGAGGGCTCTGGAGGGCAAACACTGTTTACTGTTAATACTTCCTGAAATGGTGCATTATGAAAAGAAAATGTCTCTACTAACTGCTGCTATACTATTTAATGTTCCAAATACACATATTAAAACAGACATGAAGGGGCAGATGGTGTTTTAGTGCTGCAACAGCAGCTCTCAGTGGAAGAACCTGGTACTACAAGTCAACATCAGAATATAGGACAGCGTCTGCACATTCACCTTCTTCATTAAACATTTTTGGGCATTTGTGAGGAGAGCTCAGACACAAAATACAAGAAAAAGAGTAGAAAATAATTTATTAAGTGACCCATCTCCTTTTCCCAACAAACAAATTATATTACTGTAATAAATATTACAGGGTGACCATCATCAACGTTGTAGTTCCTTGGGTACTAAAAGAGCAAAGAAATAGTAGGGTAAACACAGGTGTTACTAATGATACTAATGAAGGTTGTCTGTAATATTTAAATAATCTCTTTCAGCCAAAAATAAATCTATTACAGTATATTAATAATTATTTACCTGTCCGCTGAAAACTCCATGTGTGTCCATGTAAAGGCATCACAGCATATCCAAGTAAGTCCACACAGACCAACACAAACTGGACCTTACGTATTGAAAACATGTTCGCAGGATAATAAAACAGTCTAACAGAGGTGGAACATTAAACACGCATCGTTAAAATAGTTCGTAAATCGTTAATTTGTCTACTTTGGTTGTCGTTAGCAGTCCCGCTGTTACTTTCCCATCACCAGGTGATGGACTGACACTCCCCGCCGCCGGAATCAAGCTAGCTAAGACTTCGTAGGCTAATTTCCGGTCAAGACTTTCAAAACAAAAACTATGCTGTGAATATAATATTGAATTAACACTTTAGAGAAAAGCAGATGAGCCAAATAGGTTGAACAATAATAACATTATATATACACGCTCACATTTGTTTAAACAAACATGAATTAAGGTTTTACCAGCAGGTGTATGCTTTTATTTTGTTGTAATTCTGTTCTATCTTTCCTCTCACTGAGCGCTGGACCAATTACTTTAATGATGCTGACCTGGTGCTCTCTTGCCCCGCCCACTGGGGAACTGCGGGGTCGATTTCGAAAAGATGCTAGTTAGCTTTTCTTAGCAAGTCACACATATGAACAAAAGCACAATCACAAATGGAATCGATGCAAATTGTTCATTTTGTTCATTGACTGACTGTTGTTGAATACTGAAGACTGTAAAAGAAGGCTCTTAAATTATTTCACAATATCAAACTGACATTTCAACAAACATGTTTCACTTTATCAGTTTGAATTAGTTGCAATTATGGTCAGAATATTCTGAGCAATAAAATGGTGTTTTAATTTTAACCCAGGTAAAATGATCCTCTGTAGCTTCCTGCTATGACAAATATCAGCAGTGAGGTCTAGCTCCAACACTGTTGCCATATGCCAAATAGGATCACATTTTCTGAAAGGACAGCTCTAATAGAAAAGGGTGAAGGGTTACACTCAGCCTTGGTACATGGGGCACCATCTCCACAAGGTCAGCAAACAGGGACCCTCTCAACAGGCCTAAATTTGGACATTTTGACTTCATTTGTGACCTATAGGCTAGAATGTTCCCAAGTTTTTAAAGTTGGAAGAACAAAAAGACGCTTGCAGAACAGACTAGCAGAATACAAATATAAACATTATATTGACTTTCATATCAGTTACCCACCCACATTACAAGCCTTTGGCATTGCCCACATCCCTGCCTTGGAGTATCGTTGTGATTTCTGTGACATTCTGTCAACTGGTTCTGCTACTGCCAGACAAGTGGGCACAACATTTTTTTTTTTCAGCATAAAAGTTCAAACAGTAGTTAATCTGTAATAATCTTACCTCAAGTTTTTCTCTGGAGCTTTACAACACATCTGCACTCAACAGTGAAAGGAACGTATCAGACAACCGATTCAATAAACACTCAAATCATTCAGCTAAGGCAGTTTCATTTCATTCTTTTTTATTTCAAGGAGCTTTGCTTCATACAAAATGTTTAATGTAGAAACAACTGCAGAATTCAAAGTCTGGCCATGAAACATAAAATCAGGCAAACAATAATTTCACTGAATCCCAAGACCCAAAGAAAGGAATGTTCCAGCTCTGCTGCACGGGGTGGAACTGTCAACAATGTTCAATACTGGTTTTAATAGAAATTTCTCTCTTTTCAACAAACCCCACAGTTTATATCAAATATTAAAAATCAACATCAAAATAACACATGGTATCTAAAAGTACTAAGTTTTCTACATGCACATACATTGTTAGAACATGCAAACATTTGTATTTTCTCAAGAAAAAAGCCACATCTACACTGCCAATGGTATGCAGAAATCAAGAAATCGGATCGCTTGTAATGTTTGGTGGCCGATTGGTCCAGACTCGGGCACAGGTAAGTTTCCTTTGACACAATACACAGGCCGCATAGTTAAAGAAGGTACAGCTGTTTTGATGTTTTTTTTTTGTTTTTTGCTGTAGTGTGATAAAACGTTTAAAATAATTCATTTATCTGCAGAAGAATGTGTTCCTGTCTTTGTCAACAAGAATCATTTCAAGGTTGATTTATGAAAACCCTTTTATTGTGACCTAACAGGACACACCTCCCATGTAGAGCCATGGGATTTTCATTTGACATTGTTGAAGTGGGTAAATGTTATGCATGCAAATATACGTATAAAGTTGCTGTAATCCTAAATATTCTAAATAATCTGTTTCTTGTTTACACTTTGTGCCTTTATGCTTTTTTTTTTTGTTTGCGTGTTTTTTTTCATTGCATTTTCTAAAAAACATTTGGTCACAATCATGCTGAAGCCTGGATCTGAAGAGACCAGCATGTACAGCTACAGGATGGATGGAGAAATGGGATCGTCTTGTTGCATAGCCCTACTCTTGAGTTTTCAGCTTGTGCCTGGCCTCTGTGGTATGTGCCGCTGTGGTTGAACAAGCCCCCCCACCCCGCCACGACTACCCTCTCCTCTCAAGAAATGCTCCACAGATACCTTCTAGCCAATCAGCTGCTGAAAAGGTTAAAATCTTTCCTGCGTGTTGCAGTTTGCCATCATGTAAAAGCGCAGCAATGGATTTCACAAATGACAATCTGATATGGACGTCAGTCGTGTGTCAAGCAAGTTGCATATCAGAAATATTGTTTCTGTGTAGATCAGCCTACATATCCAGTCTAGAGCAGAGTGCAGTTTCAGGCATGGACAGACAGTCCTCCAGAGCTCTGTCACTGATAGATGTTGGGAAGATGTATTTTTAGAAATCCAACAGCCAGAGAATTTCCTCCTTCAAAATGTGAGCAGAGATCAGTGAGGCAGAAGGGGCAGGTGTTGGCAAGTAATCCTCCACTAACTGTCAGATCCACTTCTGGCCGTTGTTAGATATCAATCTGTGGTATTATACATTTCAGGAGTTGCTTGTGATTTGTAATTTTTCTTTTAGAGGGTCCTGTCTCACAGAGCCAGATGAGATTTGGTTATTTTAAAACCTTTAAAGCAGTATGTAATGCTGTTTATACAGCTGAGCCATCTGCCTCATCTCCTACCTATACAGTGCTTCAGTTCTAAAGGGATTTCCTACATTTCCCAGAAACAAGCCCCAGTGAAAGGCATCAACTCCTTGCCTTCAATCAAAAGTGTGTATGTGGACATAATAGCTGTGTCCTAAGACCTTACAACATACTGACAGTTTACAGTTTGTACAGGGATATATTGACTGATATTAGCTCAGGTCGGTCAATAAATCACAAGAAATGTCAGTAGAGAAATCCCAAAGATAGTGTCACCATTACATAGTTTGTCCACAGGAGAGCACTGACAAGTTGATTTTATTCACCGTAATATATCCCACTCTGTACATATCTCCCACAAGTCTTTAGAACTATGTTTAACCAGTCCTTACCAAACCATATCATACATTTTTAACCTACAAGCTTTAAAATCCCGAATCTAGTTGTGTTTTTGCAGATAATATACAACAACTTTACCATTTCGTACTAATTTGAAATTTTAGGGATGCACGATATATATCAGGCCAATATTCCTATGCAAAATATTTTTGTTGTTTTAACAATATAAGGTCAGATTTGTTTCAATCAGAGCTATGGAATATTTAATCATCGATCTTTGCTCACTAGCCTACATTTAGCCTTTCATACTCCCAGGTGTGCATGAACTATTCTTTTTACAAAGCAAAGATCAGTTATCAGTCAGCTGAAAAAATCTATACCCGTGCATCACTAGAGAATTTGGAATGACACTGCCAATTACATGTAAGAAAGAGAGCAAAATGGGCTTTGTTTTGTTTTCTATGATCCTCCTCAAGCATTTTCAAGCCTAATTTCTTAAAGTCTGTTTACAGCTGTGAGTAGTAGTGCATCGCAGTCCATCAACAGCACACCAAAGAGTCAAGCAGATTTAGTGTGCATACTGATATCTTTGAGAATACATACGCATACGCTTGGAGTTTGTATGTGGTATTGAATTAGGACACAGCTAAGGATGCTATTGTTGCTAATGTGGGTGGATAAGTTAGTCACTCTGCCTCTTTTACAATCAGCTTCCTCCCTGTGGATTCTGAACCCTGGTCCAAACTAGCAGCTTTACAAAAAAAAAAAAAACCTTCTCCATTCTGACACCAAAGCCTGTTATGTGAATGAATCAGATCACTGTAACATTTCCTGCTGTCACACTCCATGTTACAGTAGCTGCTGGAATGACATTACAACACACATTTTTTGCCAGTTATCCATCAGTATGAAAAAAAAACCCACCACAGAACAACAAACTGGACCCAGAAATGTAAAAATACATCCATAACAGCTGAAGTTTACCAGTGTTAGTTTTTTAATCCACACACACACACACACACACACACACACACACACACACACACACACACACACACACACACACACACACGCACACACACACACACACACACACAGACAGGGCCTGGATTGACTCAAATATCCATAAAGAGTCAGACTGGATCCCCATTTGCTACTCTGGATCCTAAACCAGAAAGTGCACGCCCCCACCCCTTCAGACTCCAGCTGACCAACTCGCCCTGTGATATCCTCACCAAAAATACAAAAAGAAACTCTACAAGGTGGTCATAGCATCTAAACATGCACACTGTGTTACTGGCATTAATGTAACTGGATTGATATATTTATGCAGTTTTCAGAGTTAAATGCTCGCATAGCTTCCACAATGTTAATTCTTGTTCCCTCACCCATACATGGTTTTATGGTTTATCAAAAACAACAAAAATAATCGACTTTCAGAAGGTTTTTTTCCATTCCTGTCTTTTAAGCGTAGGCATCGTTTCTCTGCTCGCAGATAAGGCTTTCTGTACAACATGTTTTCCTGCAGAGCTACATACACAATGAACCAAACGTCTACTCAAGTGTGGATGCATTAGAAAACAGCTGACATTGCATCTTTTTCTACAGTATATCTAAAAGGATAGGCACTTTGTCTTAAAACATCGCAAAGAAGTCTTTAAGAAACATTAGACCTGAAAACGATGGCAAACCGTAAGCAGTTCACGTAAAACACAACTTTGTTTTTTTCCCCAAGTCATACAAAAAATGCACACAATGAAAAGAGAACATCTACAAGGAAGTTTTATAGAAAACAAATTAGTCAGTCAGGTACTTTTCACTGCCATGCGTTGCTTCGCTCTTGAAGTTTGCAAGAAACATTTTAACACACAAAACAATCACCGCTGTCTGTGTGACAGCACTTCATCTGTTCGACTGACACAAAGGGAATGTCATAAAGGATTAGGCATCATCATGGAATGGTAGAGTCCTAAACTAAAGAACAACACAGCTGTTTGTACAGTGTCATAATGTCTTTGAGGTTTTCCAACATTTTGAACTATCATTACACTGACCTGCTCTTTGTCCTGTTACAATGACTCGCAGTGCCACCACTTTCTGTTGAAACTGCCATACTGACTCTCAAACGCAATTCAAATCTTCAGCTACTGTCAATAAGTAACTTTAGTCACTGTTATACAGTATGTTGCACTGTTGGCTGTAATGATAATGTGGTCTGTTAACCAGCTGATAAAGAGAGCACAACTCACCTCGAGCGTGGTGTTGTCTTTAGCCGTTAGGTTAGCAGCAGGCAGCTGTTTTAGGTAAAAAGCTCTGATCAACCCCATCTTCTCTACCTGCTCAGCACACAGACACAGTTGGAGACTAGCTGGTGAACATAGTGGAGCCTTTAGCAGCTAAAAAGACAGATATTTGTCTCAGGAGTTGGTGGAGACTAAGGGTGTAAGAAAATATCGATATATTGTGTTAGTATTGATCCTCAAAAACACAGTATTGATTTGTGTGTTTGAACCCCCAACCCCTAGATAGCAGTGTTGTAAACATAAACTGAGGGCTGTGATGTTGGATGTTACAGTGACTAATAAATATAAATGCAGATCCCACTGTTCTGATTGCATAAAATCTTAGATTCTTTTTAAATCCCAATATATCCCCTATTTAACAGTTTTGAAATATATTGAATTGTAACCACTATATTGTGAACGTATCGCCAGATTCTTGCCAATACACAGCCCTATTGGAGAGAAAGACACTACTGGACATTCTCAAGTGGTCAGAAACACAACTCCAAAAGGATGTTATTTGTTGCTTTATGTCTGCTCTATGTGCAATTAGGCAACTGTCTGCTAACATGTTTGCCTTATCAACTTTATAAGGTGATAATATGTCAAGGTTGTGTTTGAAGCTTGTTGTGCTGTCCCCAAATAGCAGAAAAAATATAAATGCAGCTCTTAAGTTTTTGCAAATAGCTATTGGCAAAATTAAGCCAAAATTAGCTGCTAAGATTCCCCTGTATCCCCCCTCAAAGAATCCTGTTTGGAGCAAAGCAGCATGTGCAGCGCAAGAGCCTAGTTTCTTCACAAAAAATAAAGCTTATAAGTGTATAATAAACATAGATTTCCTGATTTATTTGTCAGTTGCCACAAGGGGGAGGCTGCATCTTTGCAGTTATTCCAAAACCCTAAGCCTGTCACCATAAAGGAGGGCTTGGTTTGCCCATTGTATCCCCCTAAAAAAAAAAGGTATATATATTTGGAGATATATAGAGAAATTAAAGAGATAATGTCCTATCTTTGATGCAATAAAAATCTTTGTAAGGCAGTGATTCCAGTATGTTCTAGTGCTATTTTTAGATTGTTAAGCATATTATGATGATTATCTGGATAATATCGTGAATTGCAATTATTTTGGCAAGGATAATCGTAAAAAAAAATTATCATCCCATGCCTACTGCTCAGTAATCAGAAATCACCCTTGGATGAAACAGCAAAATACTTGTTTCCCTGGAATACAGACTGAATGACACACAGCAGGTCTGGTGGTTTATCTACATCACCCAAAAATGTCTTTGGATCTTCCCTTTTCTTACAAAGTCAGGAGATATTATCAACCTAAATGTAAATCTGTGCTTAAAATGTAATGCTGTTTGAGGATCAATATGGTGGTGTCAACTAAACACTGAAGGAAAAGCACTGAAGTCAAAGCAAATCAAGCTACTGTAAGACATCTGACATTGGCAAAAAGTCTACTCTTCTGTTTCATAATGCTACGCGCTCTTTAATAAAGATGACACTGTTTTTGTTCACATTCAAATCACTTCAAGCTTTCTCCCGGTTTAGATGTTCTCCCTAACCGTAGCTCTCCAAGTTAGGATTCAAATACGGTATTAAACACACACAGTGACAATGTAAACTAAAGCCTTCAGAGAAGATGATAAAACTCATCACAATTCCTCAAAAATGCATTAAAAAGGTTGGTTTAAAGCCATGCTAGCACCATTCGTCCTCCTCTGCCTCCTGGTAATACCTGGGTGCCCTGACGCCAGAGCCTGGGCTGGTGCTGCCCCCAAAGCTTAAGTGGTACCCGTTAGGCACCCCAAGGTTCTGCTGCGGAGCGGGAAGCAGGGCTCCCATCATGCGAGGCAGTGCGGTCCGAGATGAGCGTCCGACACAGGGGCTGGGTGACACTGACGCAGCATCCTGGAAGACGTCCAGCTGGTCCCGGAGGCTGCTGTAAAGGCTGCCCAGGGCCTCGTCGTGGCCCTGGCCCAGGAAGGGCTCGGAGCTGATACGAGTGACGGGGCAGGGGAAGTGGCGCGAGCCGCTGTGACGGAGAGCATTGTGCTCCGACAGGCCGCGGCTCAGCCGGCCGGGACTCAGAGAGGTCTGGCTGGACACACAGTGCACGGGGGATGAGTTGGCAGTCTTGTAGGCCACCCCGGGCCGCGGGGTGAGGGGGGTCTGGGGGAGCTGCCGACGTCCGCGGCTTGGCGTGCTAGAACTGGAGCTCAGTGCCACTGGGCTGCCTTTAACCCAACCACTGCCCTGGATGAAAATTGGACAAGCAATTTGAAACGATAGAACGATGAGGAAAATATGTAAGCGAGGAAAGGAAAACAGAAGGAAACGGGGACAGGGCCACCGGTGGCAGGAAAGGAAAGGAAAGACACCAAAATGTGATATGTGATGACATGAAAGATGACAGAGAACAAATGAAGGAGAGAACACAAACAGAGAAGATAGAATGAAAGAACAAGCACTAATGGAAAGGTAACGACAGACAGACAAAATGGATGGAAAATGATGAAAAGAGAAAGTGGGAAAAGAAGTGAAAGGCCATGAGAGGCTGCACTAAAGGCAGACAGAGGAGACAGTAGTAGTAAAGTAAGAGCATGCAGAGGGGTCGCAGTAATAGTAAAGGTAAACAAAGTCTGCATCCAACACACTATCTGTACAATGCTGCTCTAAGGCTGCACTGCTGGATGTGTATGATATACAGTAATGTAAGAGCTGGATAAAGCCAGAAGGTACAAAACAATCCAGATGACAAAGAAAGAAGTATCTGTGGGAATATATATATATATAGATATTATATTATATTATATACATAATTATAAATTATATACAAGAATTGAGTATATTAAACTGACTGTAAAGCTACTAAACCCACCAAATGCGTTGCTGCAGTAATATTATAGGAATACTAAACAGATCTTGAAATTATAAACTGCATTGCCAATTTTAGGGGCGTAGATTATGCTAACGATGGTATCTCATTGCTGAAACAAGCAATTTATGCTTTATCAGGGCTCCAGAGTACGACTAATAATTTTTCTAGGTCGCACTGGTGCACCTGACGCTGCCCAGGTGAAAACATACATTTATTTCGCAAGCGCATCATCTCTCTGTGTTCTCCTATGACCAAACTCACACACTCATGGTAGGATCATATCGTGTTCTAAACCAATAAGAGACAGAGCTCGGGCGGGTCTTTGCCTCTGATTGGCTGTGGTCCTGTTCACTGCGCTAAATTGTGTGTGTTTAAAAATTGCTGAGCCCCGGCCCTTCGGCGACAGCATCAGACTCGGAACCAGAGGAGGAGACAACCGAGTCTGGGATAGAGCCCGGCTCCGAGACCCAAATTAAAAAGGTCAAAATATATTCCTTCAGACAGGACTGGCTGAAACAATTTCCCTGGCTGAGGTACAACAAAGGACGTAACGCAATGCACTGCGTGTACTGTCAGCAGTGCGGTCAGAATATGGCCGGAAATAGTGCATTTGTGAGCGGGTCAACAACGTTTCGTATCGAACCTTTAAAAAAACATAACATGTCTAAAAACACACGATATGCCGTGTGTGTAGAGAAAGTGGCCCCTCTCCCAGCTGCATTTCAGTGGCAGGTAGTAGTAATCAGGTCCTCTTTTAATTGGAAATGTTTTATTTTGCTTAGTGTTTTAATTTGAAATGTTCAATTTCAGCTCAGTGAAGCACTTTAAACACTTTATTTTCTTTTTATATATAATTGTGCTTCAAATAAAGACAAGCATTTCTCTACACCTTATTCTTGTTTAAAAATCATTCACATTATATGAAAGTTATGGAGAGCGATAAAAAGGTGACCTTACGCCGTTAAAGGCAACGCAATGAAAAATTTGGGTGCACCTACATTTTGTGCTGGTGCACCTAAAAAAAAAAAGTTAGGCGCACCAGTGCAACCAATGCAAAAAGTTAGTCTGGAGCCCTGTTTATATATAATATATATAAATTTATTAACCAAATTCACTAAAAGTGTCTGGTGTTTTAAATGACCCAGCGCGCACAAACAGCGTTACAGGTATGCTGCTTTTGGTGCATGTTGGGTTAAAATTTGTGGGTCAGACACTTTCAGTGTGTTGGGCCCTGAGAATACAGAAATGTTTCATGAGGTCAATTGTGTTGGTCTGTTAGTTCCTACTGAAGATGTAATTCTTTAAAAACAAAACGTAGTAGTTTTTATCAAATGTTACTCAAACAGGAGGCAATAGTACATTTGGGGCAGCAGGACAATGTTTGTTGGAATGAGTCCAAATAAACTACAGTGTGTGGAACATGTCACCCAGTGCAACAGTTCTGAATAATGTAATACATTTTCTGTTGTTTTACTGTTATTTATTATTCAATTGAATTCAATTAATTTGAATGAAACTGAACTGCATTTAATTAAGTTAAATTCAATAGGACAAATAAAGTATTGATAATTGAATACAACTGAGTAATCAATATTATATCATATAATTTAGGTTTATGCTTGTTATTTGATATGCAAGCAGAATTAGAATTGGTTACATACATAAGCCACTTAAACAAAATTGTAAAGCTGATTCAGTGAGTGTTTGTGAACTGAAATGTCATGTTCTATTAAACTGTGATAAGGTTTATCACATCAGATCAAAGCTCATTATTTGTAATCATCTCCACATTTTCAGTGTTGTTACCACGGGCAGTCCACATACTGTTGCTGGTCTTTCTGCCAGTACATGAAACTAGACTCAGCTGATTATAAGGTTATCATTTTAAATAAGTTGCACACAGGTCTAAAGGACTATTTTACTATTTTTACCTTTGGTTTAAATAGAGTTTTTTTTTTTATCCTGATCAGACTGATATTCTGAGGGAAAAGAGAATCCAAACATAGTGAACACTGTCATGTGAACTCCAAACTCATTGAAAACACTTCAGACATCCTCTTTACCTGTTCTAAAGACTCGTCTGGCCCTACTCTACACGCGTCTGCCCTCCCACCTGCTTGTTGCTGGTTTCCTGCCCCTCGCTGGGGGAGGCGGCACAGCTGGCGGTGGCAGATTTGGTGTGGCAGTGTTCCCGGCTGCAGTAGCGGTCGCAGGAGTAGTAACGCTGCTTGTCCGCCGAGGAGTGATGGTGTTTCCTCTCATGGGAGCGTCCACGGTCGTGGGCTCGCTCTCTGGGGGCAGCTGGGTCGGATGCTGGCTCTCCTGGTGCTCCTGTGGAGGGGGAGGACAGTATTGGAGGGTGAAAGGTAATGTTTCTGTATTTTAAATATTAGCCTGGCCTTTGACTTTTTTGGTGTGTAGACTTTGGTTCAGTAGGGCTTTGAGTGCCAGTCTTCCTGTCAAGGCGTTTATTTCAGTTCAGTTAGAAACAGGAATCTAGAATCTAAACATATAGAGTGGAACAAATTAATGGGATTTATGTAGGGAAAATAAACAAGATTTTGCTGATGCAACTCTGCTGACCTTTATTCACTTAAATTGAACTTTGCTCACCCTATCATTGGTAATAATTGATAAAAATTGAGGGGTGGTGGCGTGAACTTTTTTCGTCTTCTGAAGGGGAGCACCGATGAGTCTGATTTATTTCTTACGAAATCAGACACTGATGATGCATCGCTGTATTGGTAAATGGTAAATGGTAAATGGACCTGTACTTGTATAGCGTCTTTCTAGTCTTCCGACCACTCAAAGCCCTTTTACACTACGTGCCACATTCACCCTTTCACACACATTCACTCAGTGATGACAAAGCCCATCGAAGAGAAACTAACATTCATACACATTCACACACCGATGCACGGCATCGGGAGCAATTTGGGGTTCAGTATATTGCTCAAGGATACTTTGACATGTGGCACCAGGAGCCGGGGATCGAACCAACAACCTTCCGATTGAGGAACGACCCGCTCTGCCTCTTGTAGCTGTTTCTTTTTTTCTACTAAAAAGGTTTTGCTCTGGTCAGGGGATTGGCTGAAAAAATATTTCAAAGGGCGTACAATAACTAAAAAAGTTTAAGAACCTGATATAGAGGATCACTGAAGTGATGACAATTCATCCTGATGGGGATATAAATGTTTCTGTTTCCACAGCAATCCAACCAACAGCTGTTGAGATATTTCAGTGTGGACCAACATTGCTAAAGGGGAATATGGTGAGCCTGTTTAGAGTTTTAATAAGTTGATTTTGGACAGACAATAAGCTGTATGGGTTCCTGCTTCATTGGTTTCATTTCTATTTCAGTTGTTCTTCTAAGCCCAACTACAACAACATTTTAAAAAAATGCCCACACTTAAAACAATAGAATACCAGCGTTCAGGATCTTCAGACCAGAACTACTGCTCTTACTAGTAGGTACGTACATGCTGGCAGGTCCATGAGCAGCTGGTTCTCGGACCACCCCCCAGCTGAAATAGGGAACTGTGCAGCAGCATTCAGACAGACTGTAATAACAAAGGGTTTTTATCCCCACTGCTGACATTTTTCTTTCTCCACAGCCACGCCCTGCAGAGAGGCTGCCTATAAATTACTGGGTCGTTGGCTGTTCATGTCTGTCAGTCTCTTTTATCTGAGTAATAAAGAGCATGTGTATGGAGCTGCAGTCTCACAGCTGGACCCAGACAGATCACCCTCTGATCTCTATCACAGCTGAGCCACTGCAGGGTGGCCACAGCTCACGCCTCAAGGTGCTGTGTCCATCTTTTACACAGAGGTGACAGTGAATGGAGGATACATTGTTCTATGACAGGGATGAAATTATGGCTGTGAAGTATTGTGGTGTGTAATACTTGTTATCGTACACTTGACTTAAAAATCAAGAAGCCTTTAACGACCAACAATTCAGTTGTATTCAGTTTTATACATTACTCATTACATGTGATCAGCTTTTGTTAACTGCTCTGATATTTTTGTTTCTTTTTTAATTCCTACCTGAATACATAATACATATAGACCTTTCTCACAGTAGCCACTTTGACATGAAATAGTAGGGTAAACAATGATACCAATTAAGGCTCCATTCCATTTAGTGTAGCAGAGCCTTTCCAGTGAGCCAACAACAGTGGAACAGAACCTTAATTAGTATTAGAACCCAACTGACATGAGATTTTTGGAATGATTGTGCACCGATTTTGCACCAATATAACATGGCAAAGGTACCAGAAGGCCGCTTTCTTAAAACAAATAACTTTACTAAGAATATTTAAGTCAAATATTTGAACCAATTCTAGTTGACATTGCTGTAAGCTTCTTCTACATTACTTACGTACTCTGTGCTGCCACAGTATTGTAAATCACAGCGCACTCTGCTGGATAGACTTTACAGTGACACCACTATATTACCACAAGCATTTGTTTCTGCTTTCATATCACATAACATAAACGATCAGTCTCGGTATCATTGGTAACACCTGTGTTTACCTTACTATTCCATGTGAAAATGGCTTCTGTGAAAAAGGTCAACTACCTTGGGCTCATGGCTCATGCTGTAACTTTCTACACATTTATAAAGCAAACAGTGTTTAATTCATAGATAAATAGTACATTTATATTTATTTCATTTCCAAAATGAATTATCTTTTGCTGTTTGGCACAGAGTTAGATAAGAAAATTGATACCACTCTAATATCTATATGTTAAATTTAAAGGTCCAGTGTGTGTCATTCAGGAGGATCTATTGTCAGAAATGGAATATAATATTCATAGGTATGTTTTCATTAGTGTACAATCACCTGAATATAGGGACTGTTGTGTTTTCGTTACCTTAGAATGAGCTGATTTTATCTACAGATGGAGTGGGTCCTCTTCTATGGACACACCATGTTTCTACAGTAGCCCAGAACGGACAAACCAATCACTGGCTCTAGATAGGGCCTTTTGCATTTTTCTCTAGTTTCACAGCCACCGTAGTTTTTCCTACACACTTGGAAGGCTAGCGGTATTTAGTTGGTTGCAATCTGCTACTTCACTGCTCAATGTCAGTCCTCAGTCCTACACACTGGACCTTGGCCAAATACAAAGCCTTGAAACAGTGGGAAACAGCCTGGCTCTGTCCAAATGTAACAAACAATCTCTACCAGCACATTTAACCTCTATCAAATAACTTTTTGTCATATTTGCTGAAACTTCCACCATATCCTGACAGTAGTACATTAGACAAAAACATGTCTCTGGCAATGGCATTTGCAGGAACCCACCACACTTGAACAAAAACAAACAATTAGAGCAGAGAAAGATTGAATGATTGTTGAGTCTCATTCCCAGGTTGTCAAATGCTGACACTCTGGGACTCAAATATAAAAGTTATCTACTGCAGCTTTAATCCACACAGGAACCAAAGTTTAAAAATGACAATTTGCCATTGTAGGGGGGTTATCATCAGGACTATTTCTTGGTACTTAGTAGTTGCCAGGCAACCAGTGGAGACTCCAGGAAGTTACTGCTCCCAAGTCTCCACCATAATGTGAAAAGGCAGATAACATTCTTGATAAAAGTGGCCTATCATACATATGCTCATGGGGATATCAGTATCCAGAATACATTCAATCTCAGGTTAACCTTCAAGGATATGGATCTTCAGGACTGAGGCGACGAGGACTATGGTAACTACACAGAAATTTAAGACTGATATTGTTTTTAAATACCTTTCACGCTCAGCCCTGTGAATTATTGATCTCTCCGCATTTAGACAAGCAGTCTCAAAGAAATATTTATGTGACTATCGACCTGACTGTCTACCTTATGTTTTTTTTTTTTTACTTTTTTTAGGGTCTCAAGCAGTAAATGTGTCCTGCTTTGCACTGGACATAATGAGCCAGTAGCTTGTTTGAAATATCCAAGAAATTGGACCTCAGGACACAGAGTGTATCAGTATACTGTGCTCTCAGACTGTGTGTGTGTGTGTGTGTGTGTGTGTGTGTGTGTGTGTGTGTGTGTGTGTGTGCTGACTAACCAGCAGAACTGGGTGCTTGTCCACCCAGAGGTGTATCCAAAGACCTCTGTCTCTTCTCCCTGTCTCTGTCTTTGTCTCTGTCTCTGCGGTGGTGGCAGCGGTGGTGGTGGTGACGGTGGTGAGGTCGATCCTGGCTGGGTTTCTCCAGGGTGTAGTCCCTCAGGTTGACCTCCTGGGGCCGCTGTGGTGCCACAGTGGAGGCTGAGCGCTTCATAGGGCTGGTATCAGCGACAGACTGAGGGAGGAGGGAGGGGGAGACAGGGAGGCTCACTGAAAATCATGTCTGAGGTTTTCATCAGGCAAGTAAGTACTTGTACTTCTTTTATAGCTTCATACTGTGACTGCACCTGATTCTTGTACATTAAATTCCCCCTTGTTCACTCATTTACAGTACTGCATGCACTGAGACACTCCAATGACCATTATGTTTCCGCTCACGCTGATGGTATGTTTACACATTACAATAGAGCATTTTATTTACTCAAGTATGTTTATAAAGACACTGACAAAAGAAAAGGCAGTAGACCAGAAAATAATTGCTTTGAACATGAATCAGGTATAAAAACTGCCACATGGAACAGCAAAGAGAATGAAAAAGTGTTTGTTAGCTTTACATTAAGACTGCGGCAGCTGGCACCTTTTTTAATGTAACTGTGTAGAAGTACTGTAGAATTACATACCTGGTCAAAACTGTCAGGTGGGACAGAACCACTGTCTCATGACCTCAGTATTTCTAAAATCATGGCCTGGACCCTATGTATTCTACCACCTTGTGCCATCATACACCCACAGAATCAACTGTGAGTACAATGACAGAAGGTGGAAATACGCTGTCACCACACATGCATTGCCGATTGGTTAAAACCAACTATACAGCACTGATCGCTCACACTGTAATAAGATGTGCTGGTAAGTGTCTTTTCTGATACTACCACTGGGGGGAGTAAGAGTTGAAAGTCTTCAATTGCTACATAGAGGGGTGATAGAAAAATCAAGCTTGTGATCCAGAATAACACTACATCTAGTTGTATGGTGATATTGACCAACGTGAGTCCATGTGATCATCTGACATCAGCATCATGCAATATAATGACAGTGTATTTGGCTTTGATCTTACAGCACTGGCACTGTGGATTTAGGAGTTCATCCAACCAGATAAAGTTGCACAATGTCTAAACCACACAGGTATTATAATGTTGTGTGACAGCGTGTACATACAGCTAGATGGATCCCCGGAGAGTGGCGCGAGTGGCTCCGCTGTTGTGTAAGAGAGGAATAAAGGCCAGACAAATAGAGAGAGAGCACAGCAGAGGGAGAGATAACAACATCAGCAGCAGATACAGTTTGTGGGTATAGTTCAAATATTTTACTTTGTGGAGAATTTCTAGATTATTATATCATTTTTTGTTAAAGAAAAAAAATTATGCATTCCTGTTGAAAATTGATGATGAAGTATTTCTGTCTACCATAATGTCTTCTTCGATGCCACCACTGTTGGGCACCAAAGTCAGACATTTTCATATCCAACACATAGTGGCTTTAAGTATAAGTTAATTTACAAAAGTAGTTAATTTAATATGTTTAGTACTCTAAAAAAAAAAAAAATTTCATTAAGATCCTGCATTTTTTTGGCCTGTACATTTTCTGATTTCTCACATCTTGCTGTAAAATCTGTAAAAATAACTACAACTTCAACATACAATATATAATTTCTGCTGCTAAGGGTTTTCTTACATCAAGACAATAACAAAAGACAAAGTTGGATGATGCCATGGGATCATGAGAGTTGTTGTCTTCACCACCATTGCTGTCATTGCAGTCAGCTCCTCCCGGTTAGGATTCCTTCAATGTTTATGGTTCAGGAGGTTTCTACCAGAAGCCCAATGATCCACAAAGGTCTCCTCCTCTCCAAAACAAACTGACCCGCTGATTAAAAACACGGAATAAAGCAGTTCCACCTTCGAAATCACTGCTTCTCCCACACTGTTGGGCAGACTAAGGACGTCCCAGAGGGGCTGCGAGCCGGGCTGCTGCTAACGTTAGCTCAGCTTGTTTTTCTGATAACTAAAAAGCACCAAGATCTAAACAGTAGATGGTAAAAATGTGGCTTCAAACTGGAAAAAAAGTCACTTTCTTGGAAACATCTGGGCTCATGGAAGTACACAAGTAAACTACATATAGAACATAGTTCTAGAGTTTATAGACATTTTAATGTGGAAATGTCACAGATTATAGCTTTGAGTTGCATAACCTAGAAAAACACTGTACTGCCGTCCACTACTTAAGGAAATATACTTACTACTGTTACTTCAGCATACTGTATTACCAGTTCAGTTCAGTTTAGTCCTGTACTGTTGTACTGTGATTACATTTTCATCAGCTGCCAATAAGACAAAATGATGCACTGCAAGATGTAATAGAAACATTTTCTATGTGTTTCTGGCCAGCACTCACTCCCTCTGCCTCTTTCAGCACATCCTGGAGCCTCTGTGACTCTCACAGATATCTCTAGAAACGTATCAGCATTGATTCCCTCTGTTCCTGCTTGCCAGGCTTGTTATCTGGACAGGGACTGACAAGAGCATACTCTTCAAATTAAAATGGGGTTCTGCACATACTGTATTAAAGGGTAATGAAACTGCAAAATCAGGATCTAATGTCCCATATCAGCTGGGTTAAAGGGACTGAGTGTGGGCCTTACTCTCTGTTCTACTTCCCTGTGAACAGAGCAGGAGGTCAGACTGACTGACGTTTTCCATGACACCACAGCACAAAGAAGGATTTTAAAGAGGAGAACAGATCTCGACAGACGTCATCTCCTGATCCTGGCAAAGCTCAGCTCAAATTAAGCAAAAGAAAAACAATCCGGCAAGAGTGAAAGATAAACTGCTGTGACTCAGGTTGAAGCCCCAGAGTTCACACAGCACGGTACAGTTCTCAATGACACTCAGCAGCAGCAGGCAATTTTCAAAAGGCCAGCATTAATCGAATTGGCTAAAGGATTTCCTGCCCTCTGTTACAAAAGGTGAGAAAAATAAGACAGCAAGTCAACAAGGCAACCTCCCACCCTTGTTCCTTCCATCCTTTCATCAATCCCCTACTCCAGATTCTCTCTCTCCCACAGTAACCCAATTACCATCTTCCTCTCCCAGTAAATCTTGGGCCCAAAGTCATTTGGAGCCACTATCATCTTTTCGGTTGGCAGCAGGAGAAAAACGATACTGGACAAATAGCTGGCGGCCTGCCAGAATCTAATCTGATTACTGTAGACCACTCCTCTGCAGCGAGAGTAGGATTAAACAGCAGCTCTTCCAATTGGGCTGTGAAAGGAATGCACTTTAAATGCATGAATCGATCAACATCAACATCACTCAGGAAATGAGGAGCTTATTATATTTCTTAGCATCTAGTGAAAGATTCATTTAGAGTTTTTCAGCCCTAACTGGATGAGTAGTGAGTCTTAGCTCCTCCATGCTTTTTCAATGGAAATGTTTTGTGGTGGTTCACTACAATGTTCTAAAAAGGTGTTGTTCTGGTTTATTCTCAGTAATGTAGGCACAGCAAACTTTTTCCTTCACTCACTGAGAATGTTGAGCTTTGTTTAACATATCTCATGTTGAAGAAAGTAAGTTCCAGACAAAGAGGTATGTTTGTACATGCAAGTGGAAATCAGACTTGTGCTATAGGTATGGTGCAGCATTCATTTTGTCACTATGACAACAAAAGAAATTAGCCGACAAACTCTTTGATGGATGAAATTTGCGTAGGAATGGCAAGCAAAGATGGGTGATTTAATATTTCATAGCTAACAGCACTATTGTTAACATAACAAAAACAGTTCTGACTCTTCAAATGTTCTTGAAGTTTTTCTAATATAGAACCTAAACATAAAGCCTATAAAACATTTTGTATAAGATTTCAAAATGAGTTAATAAGTTACTATTATTTTTCTTTTTTAGACTATTTATTAGGGACCGAGCCAGTGTCAACACCGGGAGGTCTCTATTGTTTTTGCTAAAGTTATTATTATTATTTGTGGGCCCCTTTGACTACTAATTTGCCCCCCTTAACATATATGAAAGTGCAATTTTATTTTATTTTATCAGAAAAATTGGGCAGTCCAGTCAAAAAATATATTATAGTATGTACTATACTATAATATACTATAATATACTATACTTAACTATACAGATCAGCCATAACATTCTGACCACCTGTGCACCCTGGTGGTCAGAATGTTATGCAGCCCCATAACCAACAAACTGCTCTGCACTGTGTGTTCTGACCCCTTTCTATCAGAACCAGCATTAACTGTTTCAGCAGTTTGAGCTACAGTAGCTCGTCTGTTGGATCGGACCACACGGGCCAGCCTTCACTCCCCACGTGCATCAATGAGCCTTGGCCCCCCATGACCCTGTCTCTGGTTTGATAGATACTGACCTCTGCAGACCGGGAACACCCCACAAGTGCTGCAGGTTTGGAGATGCTCTGACCCAGTCGTCTAGCCATCACAATGTGGCCCCTGTTAAAGTCGCTCAAATCCTCACGCTGCCCATTTTTCCTGCTTCTAACACATCAACTCTGAAGACAAAATGTTCTCTTGCTGTCTGATATATCCCACCCACTGACAGGAGCCATGATAACCAGATAATCAGTGTTATTCACTTCACCTTACAGTGCTCACAATCTTATGGCTGATCGGTGTATAACCCAAAGTGTGTAACTAAGTGAGTGTGGGTCTGAGCACTGCCAAAATGTGGGTGGCCTACACTCAGTACTGTGTCTCAACACATCCTGTGTAGACACATAGGACTGAAGCTGCTGCTCTGCTAATGTGCTGTTCACGCCATGCTTCCTGTGCATAAAAAGTAACATATGTACAGACTGAATTCATATACAATCCAACTGAAAAATTAGTAAAAACTGCTGGGAAAAAACAGCAAAAGCATGCAGCTACTTGCTAGCTTCTTTCATTTCATTAACTTTTTGTTTCAATTTCATATTGTTACTGTTTATAGGCCATCAGTAGGAATATATGCAGGATTTAATGGAGGTTGTTAACCTTTTAAATCTTAATATACAATGGCTTTTTGCTAAAGGAATATTATCACTTTGATGTTATCTGGCATTTAAGCTGCTTGTCTCAAGCTAAACCCTAAAGTTTCTGCTCTGCAGTCGAGAGGCCAGGAGGCTGTGATATGTCAAGTGATCAAGAACAAAAGGGACTAAGTGGTTCTGTTCAAACAGTTGGGAATGACAACTCTATTTACTGAGGAGAGTAGATCTGTTATATTACTGTAGAGCAGTATGAAATGGGTACTGTGTGTGTGTGAACTATTACAGTCTGCTATAAAGAAGTACAGTGCCTTTTCTCATAAACTTACAATCGGTGAGAACACAACATCCAATTTTACTGACACTAGACTAAAGGTCCAACATAATATTAAAATGACTAAAATGTGACAAAAAATAATGCATTTTTGTCAAAATGACAAAAAACAAAGGCTACCACTAAACCAGAATCAGTTTCCAAAGTGAACCCAGGTGTGGTGAAGATGAGGCGTTACCTGCAGCTCAGCATTGAGCCGTGGCATAGAAGCAGCTCTGCCCTGGTTCTCCAGACTGGTCTCCATCTCCCTCATCTCCACCGACTCCTGGACGTACACACGACTAACTGTTATTTTTCTTCTTTATGTCTCGTTAAGCAACACTATTCTTGAGCAGATGTTTAACAACTTGAACCATATGATGACACTGTCTGTATTACAATGAATAAAATACAGTTTTCCATACACAGCATGGGTTGAAAATGTGTCTGTCTACAGTACCTGAATGATGACAGTGTCCGGTGTGTCCTCCGATGGGCCCCTTGACATGGTTCTCTTAGTCTTAGCTCGGGGCACTTCCTTGGGCTTCTCAATTTCACAGGAAGACGATGGGTTAAGGTGGACATGACCTGGCCTGTGTGTTATAGTAGTCACAGCTCAGCATAATAACAATACAGTGTAAATCTCAATAGGTCAGTCTGCAGATGCCCGAATGGAGCTTCATTTGATATCTTGATAACATTTAATGATTTGAATTCCTAAGGATTTAGTAGTAAAGTGAGATAAAGTTTTTTTGGCACAGTGTGTGAGGACAGTTTAGTGTTTGGGTGAAACCTTGAATGACTGAACAGTCTCTGAGACACATTGTTCTGTAAGAATTATTTCTAGGAAACAAACAATGAAAATAAACCCAGTTCAAACGTTTCTGATTTAAGAACCTCTTTAAGTATTGTAGGGTTGTCTTCACACCATGTTATATTGATATACTATATGTACAATCTGCCCGTGTCTGTCGAAATCCAGATCCAGGTCACAGGATATGTATAAATGCTAAAAAGGCAAATGGATTGGTTGTAGATAAAGCTTCGTTAGTTCTGACTGTGGAGTGAGGAGTCCCCAGAATTTACTAGAATAACAATAACTCAATAAAGAAGGGGTTCTACGACACCAGTTATGAAGCTTTCTTGACAGTCCTTCCCAGGCAGTATAAAGCACACCATACAGTGGCAACTTTGCATCATTTTATACCATGGCACACACCAAACGTGTCACACACACAGAAGAAGAGCTCAAGGTACAGTAGTTTGATGTACCAGGATGCTGATAAATAGCACAGTGGCATATCTTGATGAATTAACCTGTGTCAGCCCACACTGATGCACATGAACCCCCCTGGCATAACCCAACCAATGGCTGCGTCCAAAATCACTCCACTGTTCACTTATTCACTTTTCCCCATATAACAGACACTTAATAGATTACTATGAAGTGTAAACAGAGACATGGACACTACTGTTTTTGGTTCCATTGTGGGGATTTTGTTGCATAAAAGACACAGCAAGAATTCTGACAAGGACAAACGAAATGGTGAAACATGATAATAATAAAATAAACAAGATAAACAAAGTACAGACAATGAAACAGAATCAAATTCCTAACAATGATAATATAGTGGAGTGATATCTGAAAACAGACAGTTGTCAGTTGTATGAGGACAAAAGCATGGGTCTTTACACCAGTCAGTCAGAACTAAAGAAGCTTTTCAGATGAGAGGTGAAATGTAAATGAAAGAATGAAAAGCGACTCCACTCCCTTTGACTTAGCAGCTTTGTATATACATTATACAATAAGCTAATATATTTATCTGAACTACAAAAAACATATGGTATGGCAGAAAAACTTGGAATCAATCTGTAACCTTCTGATTTGAGAGGGTCTCACCAGTAGCTACAAGAGTGTATTACTACTTTTTAAGGCAGACTTATGACTTTGTTTCAGTGATCCCACTGTTGAGTCCTCTGACGTTCATATTGATGTATATTTCAGAGCAGAATTTAACCTGTAGATTTCTGTTCCACTGAGGCAACACTATATGGATGAGTCATGAATTATCAGTGTTTATTACACTCCAGAAGTAATCACAAGCCATAGACTTTGGGATACAGAGTGACAGTGGGAAAAAGGTTGGGTTTTTGTAGATCACAAAGTATAAATCTGTTTGCTGTTTACTGAAGAACAGAAGATTACTAAGCACTTATTTAACACACACTGATATCACTGAAAACATGTTGGACTAAACACAAAAAGATCAATTGTGGTGACATAGTCACTTAATGTTGTAAAGTCACACATTTACTCTGGATGTAGTTTTTAGTCTTGATGTGGTAACTTAAAGCTCCTACAAGGAACTTTCATTTTGTGTTGATTCTGGCGGCCCCTGTGGACAAAAGCGTTTCATTGATTTCAAGTGGATTCCAACAGAATCTGACCTGGTGGCAGGCATTAAGAAAAACTATATAAAAATAGCCAATCTTTTCTCTGATGGTCTTGTTTGTTTATGTGGGTCATACAGAGGCATCAGTGTTGAACTGAGACTGTTTCATAACCAGTTAAAAACTCCTTGTAGTATGTGAGTAAGTGTTGAACTTACAGCCTGCCTCCATTGTTGAGGGAGTTGGAGCTAGATCTGGTCTGTGGCTGGGACTTGGCATGGGATTTGGGCTGGGGCTGGAGCATGCTGGGAGGCTCCGCATTGCACACCGTAGGCAGATTTTTCTCCTGCATGTGAGTCAGAGGCAGCAATGGCTTAAACAGAGCCCCGACCTTGCACTGTGGAGGAGAGACGGATGGCAACATGCTGAAGACATTCAGAGGCAGCAGGCAGAATATTGGTGGACCCAGGTCGCACAGCGGGAGATCAGTGCCACCCAGATGTGGAGACTTGAGCCAGAATATTCATTTCTGGCAGTCATGCTTGTGTGTAGTACATCTGTGTGTATCTGTGAGTGTTTGTGTGAGCGGAAACAAACATGCACCTACAGACGATGTGCGAAGGTTGTAAATTACTGCCAGCCAGCAGCCAAATACAGGCTGTCTTTGGCTGTGGCTGGTATGTGTGCCTTTAATACAAGCTACTTTAGCAGATAACCAATCACTGGGTTGCTTAAATTGGGAAAGCGGTTGATTTTGTAATCTAGTAGTGAATGACTAGTAGATACAAAAACACCTTCTTTGCATGTGTGTATGCATGCAGGCATACAGACAAAGTGTGTATCAGTGTGTGCAAGCATAATACATGTGGGCACATGCATACAAGTTTGCACTAGTGCATCCAATGTGTGTGTGTGTGCAGGCATGTGCAGTGTGGATGTTGTACCTGGGAGCCTGACGTGCTCTGTTGCTGCTGCAGCTGTAGCCTCCTTGCTCGATTCTGCTTATAGTAGTCGAAGATCATCAGGGCTGCATAAACCTTCCCTACCGTCAGTTCATTGGCTGAAGAGGTGAGGAAGGAAGAAATTATGTGAGGAAGGAAGGACAGAACAGGAAGAAAGGAAGGAGAGGAGACAAAATGTTGCTGACTCATTCCTTCCTCCTCAATTCATCTCCATTTACCTGCTTGTCCCTCTAATGGTTAAGTTTAAAGAAAATGAACTTCTACCAGTGAGTGATTAAAGTAGACTTTTAAAGGTAAATAAAACAAAACATCTCCACAGAACTGACTGGAAATGCTGCTGAGTAGTTTAGGTGGTGAACACAATTTTTACCAAAAGGTGGCAGCAGTGGCAAAGCTCACAACTGCACAGGAAGTCTGAACTTATGCATGCACTCATGTTGACACACACACACACACACACACACACACACACACACACACACACACACACAGACACACACTCACCTGCAGGCAGTATTTTCCAGACTGCTTAAAGTAAAATCATAAGGAATAAAAGCTATTTTTGAATTTCTTAACTTAAAAATGTCCTTAAATTTAAGAGAAGCTCTCTGAAATTGGTTAAAAGTAGATCAACATAGATAAGTGCAGTACAGAAACAGAAATATGATGCATTATAATGCATTAGCTGAAGGATAATTTTCTATAATTCAGAAGAGGGTAGCTACTACTTGGCCAGATTATATGCATTGTTTTGCTATGCTAATGATACTCAGCTATATGTTCCCTGTGAAGGCAGATGATCATTCCCAAACTGTTACATTAGAGACCTGCTAGGGCGCAGTGGAATCCTGGATGTCACAAAATGTTTTGTTCCTAAATTCTGACAAAACTGAGATGCAAGAATATGGACAGCAACCCCATAAAATGTTTTTAAAGGTTAGATTATTATTTAAGACCTGAACACAAGCTATATTCACAGTCTCCGAAACAGCCCCATCCTGCATTAGAAAAGTAGTTTAAACAACCAAAGAGCTAAAAGAGTAATGGCCAAGAGACAGGGAAAAGAAAACACTGAATTTTATGAAGCCTATTAAATATGCATGACTGTTAAAAAAATACAGAATACAGAATTGTATAAAAAATATCAGGAAAACTCATCTCTGATCAATATTTACAGGAAATAACCTACACTGAATATAATAAGAAATATCCATAAAATATGTCACTGAGTCAGTGATCCCTTAAAGAAAAAGGTTAGAAACCACTGCTCTACTGTATCCTTGTACTTGCATGTGTTGGCGTCAGCCCTCAGCTGTGGTGACTGTCACGGTCATTTTATATGATAAAAAAAAAAAATCTTTTTCTGATGGAGGTTACCAGTCAATGGCTCTGACAGATGGCAAAGAAGTGACTGAAGAGGGCAACTCCAAAGCACCTTGTGTAGTATAAAAAAAGCCATAATGCCTCATTACACACTGTCACTGTGGTAATAACCCTGAGACATTCAGGCTAATTACTAAATGATATACAGTCCTTTATGAATATAAAATTAGGTGCAGTGTGAAAATTTACAGTTGGACATTCACATTGTGAGAACTTAAGTAAGTAAGTAATTTGTTAGTAAGTTAATCTGTAGACATTATTTTGTGGTGGGGGATTTTCTCAAAAGCTGTAAATGAATGCTTCTACAGATAGAATTTAAGTTATTCTACATTATAAAGAACTTCTCTTTGGGGCACCCCAATGGCTCACCTGGTAGAGCGTGTGCCCAATGTACTAAGGTTGAGTTCTTAATGCAGCAGCCCGGGTTGGATTCCAGCCTGCAGACTTTTGCTGCATGTCATCACCCATCTCCTGTCTATCTTCAGCTATCCCTATCAATATAGGTGGCACTATTAAGAGGCTAGGGGAAGCTTCCCCAAAATTATAAAAGATAAGTCACTTTATCAGCTACCTCACATAGCTACAGTGCTGTCAGCATCACACTACACTGATCCAGGGTCAGTAGCAGATCTGCCATTCAGCATGTACACATTGGTATTCAATTTAGACCAGTACTTCTCAAATAGTTGGGCGCGCCCTCCTGGGGGGGCGCAGTGAGGTATCGAGATGGCGTTAGAGGCAGGGGGGGCTGACGGAGAGATGGAGAAGTTTCTGACAGGAGTGAAAAGAAAAACGGAGGAGGCGTCAGAGGCAAGAACAGCAAGTAACCGGCATAAACCTAAGACCAGGAAATACGACGAAGCCTACACAGCCTTTGGGTTTACCGTGAATACGGTCGGAAATGAGGAAAGACCTGTGTGTGTTTAATGCCTAAAAACTCTGGCAGCAGACAGCATGAAACCAAACAAATTAAGACGGCACCTGGAGACCTTACACCCCAGTTATGTCAATAAGCCACTGGACTTTTTTCATCGGATATTCGATGAGTATCGCCAACAGGCCGGTCATTTAGTGAGCGCGGCATCAGTAAATAAAAACGCACCGTTAGCCTCGTACAAACACCGCCGCTAATACTCCAGCAGCGACGACTTCCTAGAACAACTCACAGAACATCTAACAGATGTTAAATATAAACAATATTGTTGCAAATTTTGCACAAGAAAAAACAAATATTAAAAAGTCCTATACCTTTTTGAAAAGGAATAAGCTGATGAAGCTGACAAGTGACCAATGTTTACAGTTTAAAAAAAAGTTTTGAATGTTACTGTGTTAAGTCTATAAAAATGCACATCCCAGTGAATCATTTGCACTTTTTTCTCTGTTTAGAGAATCACACAGACTGAGCAGTCTTGTTTAAATGTTACAAATTGAGTTAATAAACTGAACTTGGAAATTGTTGTTGCAGTTGTTGCAGATGTTATATCAGCTCATTTTATTAATCTATTGTGATAATCAGGTGATTGTATGCAGAATGCTGGTGCCAGCAACTCATACAGTGGTTTGTACAGATAAAAAATAAATATTATCAGGTTCTCCTATTTCAATTCAGGGTGGGCGTGAAAACATTTCTGTCCCCTAGGGGGGGCATGACAGAAAATAATTGAGAACCACTGATTTAGACTTATTAGGCTGTCAATGTCCAGAGATGAGTGGGGAAGCTTTAGCTTCTGTCACAAGTCACATCATTACACACCTGAGCACACATTTCCCGTTATTTTTTCCAGTGTAAAATTAGTAATGAGAATTTGTTCGTTAAGTTGGAAAATTATGGATAGATTTGTTTTCAAACATCCTTGGACAGAAGAAGTGTTCGATAACTACTTTTTTAAACAACAACCAGCAGATTGTGCAGGTTCAAAAATGTTTTTCAATAGTTTAAATATATTTTTAACAATCTGGTCGATTTGGAAGCTGTCCTCGGCTGTTTCATGACACTTAAGCTAATGGGGTCTGTGTAGACTAACCTGCTGTTTTAGGTAACTCAGTATAATGTGCAGTGTTTTTTGGGTGGTCTGTGTTGACCTCGGCCCACCCTGGTCTAGTCATTGCCTACTGTATCTACTGATATGGGCTTACACAGTGTAGCCTACTGTCTGCTAGATACTATTTTGTGGTGGAAAAAGCTGTAACTATTTTCATTTCCCCCCATTTCCCCAGTTTGTTTTTCCCTTGCTGTGAGGAAGGTGCTCTCCGTCTACTGTCCCACACTTTACAACATTCACATGCATACATAACATAATTTTTTGTTAAAAAAATTACTTCACTAAAGTAACACAACTTTATCCAGAAAGTTCAAACTTTAAAAATAGTGGAATGCTTACGTTTATGTGGTGTCACCAACAGGTCCACGGTCTTTTGAGAGAGGTTGGGCCACACAGTGGACAACTCTTTCTTTAACTCAGCGTCAGATAATCGCTGGGCTACCATGCCTGGAAATCCACAGAGAGAAAGAGGAAGACTTTAAAAGACACAGCTCAGCCACCAATCACAGCACCATATACTCTGTTTTAAACAAAGGGAAAAAAAGAGAGACAAAAAGTGACAGAAACTTCCTCCAATTAGTTCAGTATAGATTGACAACACAAAGTACGCTAAGCAGTAGAGTTGTTCCTAGGATGAGGCCCAATGAGAAACCCTCATTAAAAGTGCAGACAGAGGCAGTGAAGCCTGGAGAGAGAATCCAGCAGACACGCCCAGCACAGCAAAAGTCTTCTAATGAGTCCAAACGGGAGGTAGATTTGCTCATTTTAGCTCTGAGAACGGTAAATAGCAGCTGGCTCTAGAACACATCTGTCACTCTGGTTGGGACTGGCTGCCTACTAAAGGTGGCATTTCACAGAACATAACAGTGGGGTGAGTTTTGGAGTTTGAAGACATCATTTTAATGTATTTATCATGATGAATCTGTTATTTAGTAACATTTTAAAAATATATATACTGTATTATATACATATAAAACTATATATATTTGTTAAAGCTGCAATGTCTAGCAACCTGTCTAAACCAGAACCTCTGACACCTTTTTCCGTCATCCATATGAACAATCAACAAATGATGGATTTAAGGTTTATGTTTGGTCAGGGAAGCATTACCTTAGTATTTCTGTTAATAATGTAATCCTTCATTTTGTCTTACATGAAACCAGATTATAAACCCATTAGAAGAATAGATCAATAGTTCACGCAACATCAACCTCAATTTAATATCAGGACACTTTATATATTATTAGCTACAGTGGTAGCCCACGATACATTCAACCCCCTGTATCATTTTTCACATTGCGTTTACTTAGTTTAGTTTGTTGGACATTGGAAGAAGGATATTAAACCAAACACACCTTTTAATGTTCAGCACACAGTAAAAAGTACTAAATCATCTTCAATTGACCATTCTTAAGTCCTGCCCCTTTTTGCTCAGTGCTCCAATAACAGTTGACCAAGCAAGATAGCCATAGGAACCTCGGTCAACTTTCTCCTTTCCTGTACTAATGGTGCATTCTATTTGAACGGGAAAGTCGAAATATCTAAGAAATCTCTACTGAAATGCCCCCTTAAGTTGGATTTCCAACTAGGAAAGTCAGAAAAACCTCACCAACCCCAACCTCAAAATCCAAGATGGCTGCTCTGTGTGTAAACTAAATGATAACTGTATAATAGACTGTTTATTAGCGCCTCTGTCTTTTGTGACTCAATAAATCAGGCATACACACATTACCTTCCACCTTCTGTCTGTGGACATACTTTTAAGAGCAAAATACAGCATAATACATTGTTATTAATTGGTATTGCTAACAATGGCTAACTTGGCTAGATTTTCTAGGTTTTTAGGTTTCTTGTCAACTCGGGTGTGATGCCATTCCCAGCTCTGACTTCGGACAGAGGTAAATGCAACATTAAATATGCTATGAGCTAGACTTGTCTCGGTTGAAAATGTCTAACAAAATGTTGTGGATGGATGAAGATAAAAGCAACACACACACACACACACACACACACACACACACACATAGTCAAATCTTAAGTTAGCCAATGTTAACATAATGGTAGATAACTAGCTATGTAACGATTGTTATACATTAAATTAAATAGCTAGTTAGCTAAAGTTTTGGTAACATTGGCTTTCAGATACTAGCTAGCTAACGACTAATGTGCTAACTACCTACCTAACAATTGATATAGACTAGCTAGATAGTTACTTCATGAAGGTTCCTTGACCAAGGATCTGAAGGAGGCTAGCTCAAATGTTATTGATGCACAGAGCAAAAAGGGGTGGGACTTCAATTAGTCAATTGGTCTGAAACACACATTATCGCACATTATCGCAAGATTTTACCAAAATCTATTAAATCACTTCGACAGTCTTATGTACAACGGTGCACACAGAGGTCAGCAGAAAATTCTCTTTCTACGTTTGTAAGCAGTTGTCACTGTAGTAGTAATGCAGTCTTCAAAGGTAACCATTTAACCTGCTGTCAATTAGAGCTGGGTTCAATCTCAACACAACTTACTGGTTCTGGTGGATCTATAGTTTCTTAGTTTATTTATCAATTGACTAAATTTTTTATTAATGCTATCTTTACCCAAACTACTAATAACATTCTAGATAACTAAGCTAGTTTAGGCTCAGAGAGAAGGCCTTAACATCAGTCTATTCTACTCATTTTTATTCTCTTATATTCCCTGACCTGAGGCCAGTTTGATCTCCAGGGCAGTGCGAATCAGGGCCATCAGGGTAGAAGTGAAGTGGACGGTGTTGTCATCAGCGATGGGCATGTTCATTTTGACGAGACGCTGAGGAGAGGAGATGAGTGGTGACAAGGATGTGAGATCAGTGAATAGTAGCAAAAAAGCACAATCAGAACATAAAGTTCACCCAGAGAAATCAATCTGTGTGCTGCTGTGATCCAATACCCTCCATGGATTCACTCTCCTAGCATTAAGTACCTTACACATGCTTTGCTAAATTTTGTTGATGTACAAGTTTGGCCGTATTAGGAAAATCTTACTGAGACTCAGTTCAGCACACAAAAAGCCTTCTCTACAAGTACGTACAGAGGAGACAAACTAGACATTCACATTCACTGCTATTAGCTACAGTATGCACTACGCTGCAAGTCAAAGTGCACTGGTGCAAGACTGACATTGACCGAAAAAAAGGTGAGAAGAAGGCATGTAACGCATAACCATGAAGGTGCCTCGACAGTCGCAGGAGCTCGACTCTGTGGTTGCCAACCTAGCAATCATCAACTTGGAGTTGAAGAGGTTGAGTATGCTCTACATGTACAGTAGCAGCTAGCAAAAGTGTCCATTCCACCAAGCTTGGGCAGCCTTAGCAGTTAGACTTGGTTTATATGGGACTAATGGCACCACTAGATGCATACAGAATGCTGTGGGATTGTTGCTGCAAGAGTTGAGCTCCCCTGAACACAAAAAGCATTCACCTACATATGCTATCAGTGGCAGTGCAGAAAGTAAGAAAGACCAGATTCAGAATGAGACGGGGATGGAGGGCTGAGGGGCAAACACACACATACATGTACAACCACCCTATTTTGCATGTGATGACACACTTATCTATTCATACATATACACACGACAGGCTGCACAACCCATTAGAAAGACAGCAATACTGACAACTAGAAAAATCAAAAGACAAGTGCAGTAGCTGTTGTAGACAGAATGCTTTTCTAAGGAATCAGGGTGAATAAGATCTTATATTTTACTTAAAGAAAATCTTAACCACGTCTTATTTGTAACCCTACCCTACCTACCTATGTGACTTTACATGGCCACATTTACATCTGGTATTAATTTACAATCATAGCTGCTCATGTTAGTGCATGTGAGTCCCTCAGTACACCTGAGCACAGTGAATAAAACTGCTGTTTTTCTAAGCCGGGAATTCAGGGTTCATTTCAACTAAAGCAGAGTTGGTGATTGTCGCAAGGGCAGAAAGACAAACAAAGACAGTTTTGGTGAGTTTAGTTTCTGTCCATTTTAAAGTGTTTCACTTAAATCTGCTCGGTTACTGGTTTTGCTAACGGAGTCTGGCTGGCCGTAGCACCCAGTGCTTTGGTCTGAGAGGATGGTGCTCTAGTAGCAAATTCATTTTGTATATATAACCTTTAGAAGAAGAATATGATCACACTGTACAAATGACTCCTGGCTGAGATCTGATCACAATGTAAACCACACTATGGCTGGATGTTGATCACATTCTGTTTATCCATTCAGATACGATATCCAGGTACAGATCAGGTAGAAATTTGGTCTATTTTATTTAGCTCAATCTATATTCAGCAAAAAATAAAAGCAAAAATCACAATGCTATATTTTTATCAATGCTGAGCAGCACTAAGATTCTAACACAGAGACAAACACACACAAACACAAATATTTCCAACAGTGGATAGACTGAGATGAGATTAGAGAAAGAATGGGAGGGGATGGGCAGCAAAGACAGATCAAAGTGAAAAGCACACATACAAAGTATTACTCTCAAAGAAAAGCAACAGAAGCTTCACATACACGCGCACGCGCGCACGCACACACACACCTAAGTGCACAAACCAGAGGATGCACACACGCACAGACACACACTGCTCCACAAAATCAAACCCCAAATAGGGCATACCATTCAAAGGAAATAGAGACATAAAGTAGCAAATTTCCTCCATAAACACAATATGTCTTAATTAACATTACTTTAAGTCTTTTTAGTTAAGCTCTATGTTATTATCATTAGTGATGGGTATTAGCCCAAACAAGCAGCTATGCTCAAAGAAACAGGAAAGACAGTAAAGAGGAGGTAGGGGCTTACACCAAAAATATCAGAGCGCTAGCAAAACAAAGTGAAGAAACGAGGGAACACTGTAGAGCACAGACATTGGCATGAGTTCACGCCAATGGGAGAAAGGTTGTTGAGCACAGGGAAGAAGGTGGAGGAAGAGGAGGGTCTACCTTGTAGGCGACTCTTGGCGGACATTTCTTTCCCAAACCTAAGGGTGGGGACATGTGGAGCAGCATCTGATACATATCGAGGTACTTGATACGGCCACTTCACAGGGTAGAAAATCAAAAGATAAACAAAACGCAAACAGAGAAGGATGGGGAGTTAGAGAGGGAGGAGAGGAACAAAGGGAAGAAATCAACAAAACAAGAGAATAATGGAAAGGAAAAACAGAAATCTGTTGTTAATAGATTTCCTAGAGTGAGATGTAAGGTGGATGTCATCCTCAGCCACTGTGTCGGGGCACAGGGATGCATCGCTGTGGAGCTCAGGATCCCTGACAGGAAACATGGAATGGCAAAGAGTGAGTTTGGTGGGAGAGGGGAGGAGGGGAGAGAAGAAGGGAGGATGGGCTGACCCAACACACAGGATGCTGATGGGAGGGAAGAGAAATGACAGCATTGTAACAGGGATGTCTGCCTCTGCATGCTAGCAGACATCCCACTGGTACTTCAACCAGGGTGCACGGAGACAAAGGTTTCAATGCCAGCCCGAACTTTGGTTTGGGGCTCTCACTAAAGCCTGGCTTTCCTCTGGCAGTCATCTTGATTTAAAAAAAATCATATCACATTCCTCATGAAGCTTTTGATCTGATTCAGATGTTTTAAAGATCTGAATATAGTGATCAAATTTGTTTCAAGACTTTTGAGGGTTTCATGTCTGCCGTCCAAACATTACAGACAGGAGAAAGGAGGCATGGAAGGCAGCATGTTGGGACACTGCCGTGGCTTTGAAAGCTTTGTTTCCTCTCCGGCATCATCAACCAAAGCCAGTCAGTTTGGAGGGGCGGGTGCTAGTGTAAAGGCGATTTCATTGGTGCACAGCCATTCAGTTAAAAGTCTCTTGGCATAAAGTGACACAAAGCACCCTAGTGACGAAAATGTCTGGTATTTGCAAACCTTGTATGCTACCCTATTAGGGCAGTTCTTCCCTAAGCCAAGGGGGGGTGAGATAACGCGTAACAAATTGTACATATCCTTATAGGAAATCCGTCCGCTGTGGAAAAGAACAAGCACATAAATAAACAAACGTTCAGGACAGCTTAAAATGAAACAGTGATCATCAGTGGGCTGACTGCATACAACAAGGTATAGGGACAAGGCCTGTGTATACAGCCTCATTCAGTCACCTTAGTCACAAACTGGGAAGAGAGGAGTAAAGTTAGGGGGTCTATTCCCTCCACTTTACTTTGTATGCTATTCTCTGGAGCCCAGAGAGAGGACTGAACATACCATGCAGCCGGGTCGTACTCGGCCCAAACCCGGATGAACTCATCGAGGTGATGAGGCCCCAGGATAGACGAGTCTCTGGTTAGGTACTCAAAGTTATCCATTATGACAGCAACAAACAGGTTCAGCATCTGGAACACAGATATTACGTAGAGTTCACATGTGTGTTTTGCAGGGATGGTTCACTGATTCACATCGGTGCCAAGTTTAAGATAAGATTGGTTAAAACAGTGTGCACTAGATACAATTTGGGATGAGCTCTGGAAGAACATCTTTGCACAGCTAAAAATGTTTTTATATGTAATTATTAATACAGGCCCTATGCCTTTATTATTTAAAAAGGTGACCAATGATGTTATATTTATTTATTCTCTAAATGGTTTCTAAAGCTACTTAAGCAGAACCAAAGAAATAAAATCAAACTATCTGTACCATATTGAATTCCATAGCATCATATTCTTTTGACTCGCATTGAATCACATTGTGTTGAATCAAATCGTGTCTAACTGCACGGCATCACAATAGGGGTGAATGGTATCCCATTGGTAGTTGCTTTATGTATCTTTAATGTATCGGATCATTAGATTCAGTGAAGGAGATGCACATCCCTAATATTTTGGACATTTTGAAAAATGTATTAATTAATCTAAGTGGCACTGTCATGATCAAATTAGCCACCTGTGGAGGGCGAAGCAAGTCTGCACATATCTCTCATACCAAGTTTTACTTTGGTAAAAGTTTTGAGGGAATGGAGTGTCTACAGCAATAGCATTATAGTCTTTTAGCTGTGTTGCACCATCCACTTGTATATAAGCTGATGATACAAGTATGTCACTTGAATAAGCCACCAATCAAGCTTTAGTAAGCCAGCTAGCTTAAAGAGCTAGTGTAACTTACTTGTACTAGCATGCGCCTGCCTGGCTAGCGGTTGGCCAGAAGTTTACCAATTAGCCATGCAAGTAGTCACTAAGTCTCCAGGCTTATAGCTCCGCCTACTTCTTAAGGATTTTTCTTTCAAAATTAAATGATAAAAAAGTCAGTTTAACGGTCCAGTATGTAACATTTAGAAGGATCTATCAGAAATGAAATATAGCATTCATAGGTATGTTTTCATTTGTGTATAATCACCTGAAAATAATAATCGTTGGGTTTTGGTTACCTTAGAATGAGCTGTTTTTATCTACTGAGGGAGCGGGTCCTCTTCTACAGAGTCCGCCATGTTGAACCACCATGTTTCTACAGCAACTTCACCGCTAGATGCCACTAAATCCTACACACTGGACCTTTAGCATGAACTAAAATAAAAAATAAAATAAACTAAAACCTAAAAATGACTCGATATTTGACATATCCAATAAGTCAAATTACACTTACACTCACACTAAAAAATCTAATCAATCTGAGCTTTTCTGCAAGACCAATTCAACATTCACATCTGAAAAAATAAATCACAAGCCAACAGTTACAGTTGCTACATGTAAGCCTGTTTCATTACTGACCAGGAAGGAGCAAAGGAAGATAAATGAGACAAAGTAGAAGTAGGCAAAATCACTGCCGCACTCTTTCCCATTGGACCCCGATTTCTCGTCACACGCTCGGTGACTAAGACACGATAACATGATCTCGTGCCAGGCCTCGCCAGTTGCACTCCTGATACACATAAAAACACAGACAGACAGAGAGAAACACAGAATCTTTGATTGAGGAGACATAAAGGGCTGGCGGTTTTGCATATTGGGAGTTCAGCTTCAACAACTTTAAACAGGTTGACTTCTGTGCTGTTTTTGATTGAGAAATAATCATTTAATTACTTCTGACTGATGTCACATTAATGCCTCTTTTCGAAAAAAAAAAAAAAAAGTAGCCTAGCAATAAACAACCCACCAACTGCCAATGGATTTTGATTCAAAATTGCTGATTAGTGCTCAAAAGTACACCTTCTTCAAACAGAACCCATCCACTTCAAATCAGTGTGACGAGCACAGACAAAATGACAAAAAACTGAACATTTCTCAGTTACAACTAAACTAAAACTAGTTTGTGTAGGACCTTGTGGCTCACAGTAAGAAGCTGATTGAGAAAATATTTTTTTAGGGCCTTTAATGCTTACTAATGAAATTAAAATTAAAACAATGTCTGAATCAGTCTGAAACCAAGCTACGTCCCTGAAATCTGCAGTCATTTGGATTTCAGAGAAAAATTCTGATGAAATAAATAATTCATTTCATAAAGACGTAAAACTATTAGGCCATATTAATCTCCAATGGAACATTGATTGCTCCAACCACGGACAGAATGAATTCCCCATACATTTTAAAATACAACTTACAAAGCAACTATGTAACAGATAAGTTGTGCTTGGTGTCTGAGGATGTTTCACTGCTTACTGGAGCTTGTTCCTGCTTCCTGTTACAGTGGCAGCTGTTCTCTTGGGGCTACATCAAATTAAAGGCTTGCTAAACAGCAGAGCCATTACAGAAATCAGTTCCTCATACTCACTAATTCTTAAGCCAGTTCTCATCATCTCATAAACATGAGACCAGGATCAGAGTGGATAACAGACACATGGAGAGTGCTTCCAATCGGGTTCAATACCCCAGATAAAAGAGGGCTTATTTAAGGAATGAAAGGACTAGCCTTTATATGGACTAAGAACTGTGTTATTATTGTCACACTAAACAGTGTTTAGTTCTGATGACTATATCCTGAAACATTTTACTTTTTTGCTCAGCTACCTTTATTTAACAGCTGTACTCTAGTAGCTTACTAGTTACTTAGTATCAGATTTTAATTTGACACACAGAACATATAAAATATGATGGTAAATGGACTGTACTTATATAGCGCCCTTCTAGTCTTTCGACCACTCAATTCGCTGTACACTACATGCCACACTCACCCCATTCACACACATTCATACACTGATGGAACTGGCTGCCGTGCAATGTGCCAACTGCTCACCAGAATGGAAACTAATCATTCATACACACCGTCATACACCGATGCACAGCATTGGGAGCAATTTGGGGTTTAGTATCTTGCTCAAGGACACTTCGACTTGCAGCGAGAGGAGCCGGGGATCGAACTGCCAACCTTCCGATTAGTGGACGACCCACAGTACCTCTGAGCCACAGATGGACTGTAATCAATTAAACTACCCAATAGGGCTGTCGCAAAATACCGATATTGACGCTAATCATGATATTTAAAGAGGAAATATTGATATTGTGTTAATAATACTCATATGGGAGTTGAGTCCTTACTGCAGCCACCCAGGACCGAGTCCAAACTGCTGCCCTTTGCTGCGTGTCATCCCCTCTCTCCCCCATTTCCTGTCACTCTTTAGCTGTCACTATCGATTAAAGGCAATAAAAGCCCAACAGAGTGATAATTAAAGTTAAGTGTAATTCATTTGCCGAAAAAGAGACAAAACACACATCAAAAGTTAAAGATTAAATTGACTGATAACGTTATTTTAAAATTTTCTATAGGTATCGCAATAATATCATGAATTCTTTTGGCACAATAATCAGGTAGTCAAAATCTAATATACAGCCATATTACTGTATATTAAGTAGTTAAAATTAGCTCCACCTCAACCAGCCACAACATTAAAATGTTATTTACACATTAATGCCTCAGTAATAACAATAATAATAATCCAATATTACATATAATGTAACACCTATTGATCCACATTTCATATTGGCATATTTTGTCAATAATACTCTTACTTGGTTGGGTTGTCTTGGTTGACACGCCTTTTCAACATTGCGTGGAAGTCAGGGACAGTGCCGAAGGAGTGGCAGACTGGGGTGGTGGTTCCCCTATTTAAAAAGGGGGACCAGGGGGTGTGTGCAAACTATAGAGGCATCACACTACTCAGCCTCCCTGGGAAAGTTTACTCTAAGGTGCTCGAAAGGAGGGTCCGGTTGATTGTCGAACCACTGATTGAAGAGGAACAGTGCAGGTTCCGTCCTGGTCGTGGAACAACAGACCAACTCTTCACTCTCGCAGGTGTCCTGGAAGGGGCCTGGGAATATGCCCATCTGGTCTACATGTGGATTTGGAGAAGGCATATGACCGGGTTCCCCAAGATATCCTATGGGAAGTGCTGCGGGAGTATGGGGTGAGGGGGCACTTCTCAGGGCCATCCAATCCCTGTATTTCCAAAGCGAGAGTTGTGTCCGGATTCTTCGTCGTAAGTCGGACTCGTTTCCACTGGGTGCTGGCCTCCGCCAGGGCTGCGCTTTGTCACCAATCCTGTTTGTGACTTTCATGGACAGGATATTGAGGCGTAGTCGTGGGGGGGAGGGGTTGCAGTTTGGTGGGCTGAGGATTGTATCGTTGCTTTTTGCGGATGATGTGGTCCTGATGGCATCATCGGCCTGTGACCTTCAGCACTCACTGGATCGGTTTGCAGGTGAGTGTCAAGCAGCTGAGATGAGGATCAGCACTTCTAAATCAGAGGCCATGGTTCTCAGCAGGAAACCGGTGGATTGTCCACTCCGGGTAGGGAGTGAATCCTTACCCCAAGTGAAGGAGTTCAAGTACCTCAGGGTTTTGTTTTGTTGAGTAGAATGGAGCAGGAGATTGGCCTGGAGAATTGTGGCAGCAGGGGCAGTTTTGCGATCCCTTTATTGAACAGTTGTCACAAAAAGAGAGTTGAGCCAAAAGGCGAAGCTCTCGATCTACCAGTCGATTTTTGTTCCTACCCTCACCTATGGTCATGAGAGATGGGTCGTGACCGAAAGAACAAGATCGTGGGTACAAGCAGCCGAAATGGGTTTCCTCAGGAGGGTTGCTGGCGTCTCCCTTAGGGATAGGGTGAGAAGCTTGGACATCCGCGAGGTTGAGCCGCTGCTTCTTTGCGTCAAAAGGAGCCAGCTTAGATGGTCCGGGCATCTGGTGAGGATGCCTCCAGGGCGCCTCCCGAGGGAGGTGTTCCTGGCATGTCCAGCTGGGATGAGGCCACGGGGCAGACCGAGGACCAGGTGGAGAGATTATATCTCAACACTGGCCTGGGAACGCCTCGGGATCCCCCAGTCAGAGTTGGCCGATGTGGCCAGGGAAAGGGAAGTTTGGGGTTCTTTGCTGGACTTGCTACCCCCCACGGCCCGATCCCGGATAAGCAGATGAAGATGAGACTCTTACTTTAAATAAAACTCTATACTTTAAACACTTCCTCTGTAAATGGACCTGTACTTGTATAGCGCCTTTCTAGTCTTCCGACCACTCAGCACTTTTACACACATTCACTCAGTGATGGCAAAGCCCACCAAACAGAAACTAACTCATTCATACACATTCACACTCCAATGCACAGCATCGGGAGCAATTTGGGGTTCAGCATCTTGCTCAAGGCAGGCATGAAAACGGGTCAGGGGTGAAAAAGGTGAGAAGGATATAACCCCTCTAGGGGGGTGGGGGCATTCTCCCCCGGAAGAAAATTTTGAATATTCAATATTTTAAAGCATCAATCTGATGCATTTTGAGATGCATTTCTGGGGAGAGCTGGAGAAACTTAACTTAAGCCATGAAATAGGGATGGGGATCGAAACCCGGTTCTATCAAGGACCCGGTTCCACTTTTTTCAAAACCTGAAAATCAATAACGTTTGGGCTTATCGATACCACTATCGAGTCTCGTCGTTTTTTTTCTCCCGTAGGTTCTGTAACGTAATTGTGTGTCCCTCGAGTCGCGGCATTTAAATCTAATCAATCCAATCACTGCAGCGTGTCCACCAATGTTTTTGAATGAAATTGTAAGCAAACAGGTATTAAAAGTAAAACAAGTGAAGTCTGGCAGTTAACTTTGCTCGCGAGGATGGCTGAACGGGCGAAAAGGTCAACAGTTTGGCTTCATTTTGCCAAGCTCAAAGATAAAGAGGAAGCGAAATGCAACTTATGTTGCAAAATCATTTCTTGTAAAGGGGGGAACACAACCTCAATGGCCAAGCACATTAGCATTGTGCATCAAATAAAGGCCAAATGCAGTACCTTCGACTGTCTCCGGGTTGAAAAGACTCTGTCTCCTCCTCCTCCTCCTGCTGCTGCCGCACCACCACAATGTTAGGCTAACGTTAACGGTAGCGTTAGCTAATAATTTTCCACCGGAGCTTTAGCTGGCTAACGTTGCGTTCTCTCCTGCTGTGTTCAATGACTCAATTCATCAAGTTGTAGCTAACGTTAGCTAAGCCTATGTCAACAGAGCTCCTGGGTAACTCTTATATGATATACCAGAAAATTTTAAAACACGAGCGAAGCGAACTGCTTGTTAACCAATCAGGTGATGATATTCCCCTCCCTTCCCAGAGAAAGAAACTGGTGATGCACGTGCAAGCTCCCTTCTGGCACGCACACCGGTTCGCAGTTCACTGAATCTCTGGTACCTACACCTCCCCCCCTTAAACATTTTCTCATCAAATCTACATGATTCACGTAGGTCACCTATTTTGGTTTCAAAATGGCAATTTTCGCCGAAAGGTGAGTGAGTTTCACGTATGCAAGGGCACTTCGACATGTGGCAGGAGGAGCCGGGGATCCAACCAACAACCTTCAGCTTAGGGGACGACCCGCTCTGCCTCTGAGCTACAGCCGCCACTCCGTCTGTTTCCAGGTATGATAATTCTTCTGTAAAGTAGTTTAGATTATTACTGTAGATGAAGTTAAAAAACAGCCTTGTCCTGCGATAGAAAAGTATGCAGTTTAAACAACTGAGAAGAAAACAGGATTTGTCACAAAAAAAAGCCTATGAAGTATGTATGATTGTTAAAAATACAAAATATATGTAATACAGTGAATTGTAGTTCCTATAAATCAGTAAAATCTCTGATTAATATTTACAGGAAATAATCAGCTCAAAATGTATCCAAATCGTTGCTTTTACACAAACTTCCTGCAGTTCTTGTGTTCACTGTCAGGGCTGTCAGTTTACTCAATGATAGTAAATGGCTCCCGGAAGGGAAAAGGTTAAGAACCCCTGACCTACTGGACTGCCTGCCCAGTAGAAAGTCCCAGTGATGAAATTTTTTCATACAAAACTGTCTGTATTTGGTAAAGGTGATCTAATGTGCTTCTTATACCTGAACAGCAGCATCAGAGCTTGGAGGAAAGTGCGAAAGTTGTTGTGGTGATTGATTGCTGTGTCCTCATTCAATTCAATGTTGCCAAACACCTACAGCAGAAACACAGTGAGGGAAATGGATTTTTACTGTTGTGGCAATGTGCAATTCATACATTTTCACTGTGAACCACTATATGAACATGATGGCCTCTCTGGCCACAGTAGTGTGACATCACCCACCTGCATCCCAATAATGGCATAAATGAAGAACAGCATAGCAATCAGCAGGCAAACATAAGGCAGAGCCTAGAGGAAACAACAGGAAACCAAAACACATTAATTATTAATAACAACTGAATTATTCCAGCCACTTTGTTTGTTTGTGTGTGCAGGTAGTTACTGTGTGTGGGTGTGAACTTGTATATGGATGTTAGCATAATGGTAAACGGTAAATGGACCTGTACTTGTATAGCGCCTTTCTAGTCTTCCAACCACTCAAAGCGCTTTTACACTACGTGCCACATTCACCCTTTCACACACATTCACTCAGTGATGGCAAAGTCCATCAAACAGACTCACACACCAATGCATGGCATCGGTGTGTGAGTGTGTATGAATGTGGGGGTTCAGTATCTTGCTCAAGGATACTTCGACATGTGGCACCAGGAGCCGGGGATCGAACCCACAACCTTTCCGATTAAGGAATGACCCACTCTGCCTCTGAGCCACAGCCACCACATACATGCAGTATGTGTGTGAATATGTCAGTGAGCATGTGATAATGTGTGTGAGCAGACCTTGAAGGACTGGACGAAGGTCCACAGCAGGATGCGGATGGTGTAACCCTGCCTCAGCAGCTTGATGAGCCGAGCAGCTCTGAACAGCCTCAGGAAGCTCAGGTTCAGCAGCCTGTCCTGTTAGACACAGACAGGGACATGAAGCACTTACCAAGCACATACCCTTACCACCCACTGAGACACACACCAGTATCAGGGCTGAACTGTTTTAAAAGGCACTTCAGCTGGATACAAATGATCACATTGGTGACATGCTGACCCCTTTTAACAAGTATGCATGAGCAAAAACATACAAGGCCCAGGTGTAAATGCACTCTTGATGCATTATTGTCCATTTATTTATTGAAGTCTTTACTCATTTATTGAATTAATCCCCAGTTTCTTTCTTCATTTGTACATTTCATGAAATATTTAATCATCAAGACGACAAGGCCTAAAGAGGGCATTCTCCTTTTTCTGGAGCAGGGGTGATAAACAATATGCTGTGCAGAGATAAAGGGCTACAGGTTTCCAGCAGCTAATAAAAATCTGGATCATGTCTCAAGTGTGAGAATGCAAGTACACTGGTGTGTTCAAATGGCGTATCTGCAGTGGAAATATATGGGTGCATCAGAAAAGCAAAGGGCATCTTAATACAATGCTGACATGCCCATATCATGTACATCTAGAGCTGCACAATATGGTAAAAAAAAAAAGCATATTGCAATTATTTTGATAGATACTGCGGCTGTGATATGATTCACAATTAGAGGGAATTATTGAATCACAGCTTTAATTTTCACTGAAATAAACCATTAAAATCATGATGATTTGTCAGAGTCTGTATCAAACAAACATGTTTTCTTCAATCTGGAGAACAAGAGGCCAGAGAATCTCTGCAGCTCTACAGTACACTTCATTATAATGCCATTTGTCACATATGTTACCTTTATCAAGAAATTGCAGCTTTATGCTATTTGGAAATTGCACTTGGCCATATTGCGATTTTGATAACATTGAGATTAATTGTGCACGTCTACATGACCTACACAAATAAACAAGACCATCAGATAGAAGATTGGCTATTTACATATACAAAGAAAGTATATGTGCTGCTCCCATGCACCTAACTACACATACATACAAACACACACACACACACACACAGCATAAACCAAGTGCTTGATCCACTCACATCATTCTGTACACTGTCTGTTAGAAAGGGAACCTGTGTTGGCATCAGTGCTCTGAAACTAAAACTGAAAGTAAATCCTCATGCTATGTGCTATTTCATTAAAATATGTTGTGATGATGGCTGAAACAAACCTGCTTTGGGCCTTAAAGGGCCACTCCACTGACTGGAGAATTTGTATGACACTTTTCAAGTGTAGGTTCCACTACATTTCCATAAGTGTAAAAAAGTATGATCCATAATGGGAAATAAAGACCTTTCAGACATGGAATCTCTAACTTTTCCACCATCACCATCTTTCTGAAGTGATGGCTTTTTGTCATTCATACATAAGGTTTACATTGTGTAACAGAGGGCAGGACAGGGCAGAGCCTTAGCGTTAGAGCAATATCTGACACCTGGTATATGAAAAACAGCAGCGTCACAGCTGTGAGTAGAAAAATTAATGGAGTGAAGGATGAGGATTGTTCTCTTGCAGCCATTTTAAATCTAATTTTGTGGAGGAAGCCTTACTTAATGAGGGGGGAGTATGAGATGAGTTTGCCCTCTTTTCAGACTTGAATCCCCTGATACATTTTCTGATCATCTTCATCATTCATTAGAATTTTGCTGCCTGTTCTAGAGAATCTAAAATGAATTTAATAGCCATTTGTTCAAATGCTGTATGTAAAGTGCGTTGCAGGATATTCATAATTGTATTAATGCAGCAAGAATGAATAAAAGATGAACATTCAGGGAGGGCATGCTGGTCTGATGGTTACTGTTGTTGTATATGTACCAATTTTTTATCTCTTTTTTCCCACACACACGATGGAATTTTTTTTTTTTATGAACTCATCTGACATCAGAACTCTCCTTTACAAATTTAAATTGGCTCATACACACTATTTTGTGATTTATTAGACTAATTAGGTTTTCTTTGTGCTAGTGCAAGTAATGATAGCTAAGTGACAAACTGTGCATTAAATGTCTTGCTGTGTGTACTGAACCTTGTAGTGCTGTAGATGTTTTGTTGTGACTGTATTCAGACTTATGCTGTCTTTTTACAGAATTATAGTATTTATTTTTTTAAAAGTGACTTAGGGACTTGTTCAGACATGTTAAAGATTATTTTCCCATTTACTGTATGTAAAGCCCCTGGCAATGGAAAAAAACCCACTAACACCCACTAACATCATCTTCAGTGGGAAAGGGTACAACTGACCCTTTTTAGAACCTCGGTCAGCTTCCTCCTGTCCTCTACTTAGATAAGCTATGTGCTCGTCTAATCTACGTATGTTGAAAAGACAAGCATATTTTAAAGATGGTTGAAAGATAAAAGCAACATATCGGTGGATAGACTAAACTAGCAATCTACATCAATCGATTTCTAGCTAATTAGCTAGTTAACAATTAATGTACATTTGCTAGACAGTTAGCTAGTGTTTAGCTCTGTAGTAAAATGCTACTTAACTGGCCATCTAACTAGCTAGCTAGCTCGCATTTTGCTAACATAAGCAAACTGAAGATGTTACCATACATCTCGCTTTTGACCATCTCCAAAGTGTGGTTGTCTTTTCAACACAGCTGTTATTGGAGCACAGAGCAAGAAGGCTGTGGGACTATAGGGTCATCACGGCAGTGATGGAAACATTATCATCGTATATGTGCTAATTTTAGTGAAAAGGGTATAACAAGTTACATGGTTGAAAGGGATTGAGTCAGTCAGTCATCAGTTTTTACCATTCTTATTTTAGTGCGTCTCACAAGTTCCCCAACTTTATGGAAGCACAATATAATATATATAATATAACTGACTGCAGTACTCCTTTAACAGAACATTTTATATATTGAATAAAACACTAGGTGAGCTAAAAGCAGAAACAGCAACAGGAAGTCACTCACCGTAGTCTAGTGATGTTTGGGACCAGGGCATGGCAACACCGGAGACGACAATCAACAAGATGACAATGTAGAGGGAGAGAGACAGAGAGATATAAAGAGCAAGAGGAAGAGAGAGAGAGAGAGAGAGAGAGAGAGAGAGGACGAGACAGAGCAAGATGAGGAGAAAGGAAGATGGAAGAAGGAGAGGCGAGACAGTCATATTGCACAATATAAACTGATACAGCTCCACAAATACACACATCTACAGGTAAGTGCACACAGAGGTACTGTCTGGAATGAATAAAGAAACTGTCAAACAACACAAAAAGCACAGCAGAGTACTGCTCCACTGTAAACCCTCTCTCCTGGTCTAAAGCTGTCAGGCTCTCTGGACCGCTGCCATGTGATTGTCTTATGCTGATGTGGCTAGTTAGCTTGTTTGCACAAAGTGTGCTGTACAGGCGTGCCCCTGCCCCAGCTCATTACCATGACAGCTATGTTGTTTGGATAAAGTGCTCTTACATTGATTTCAGTCACCAGGATGTCAGTGATGCTGCCCAACACGGTCACAAAGTCAAACACATTCCAGGCATCCTTCAGGTAGTTCTGGGAAACAACAGTTGAAGCTCATTAGCTGTTGTTCATTTTTCAGGACATTTAAAGTTGCTTTTTGAATGTTACCCACCAGTGGACCAAAAGCAATAATCTTGAGGATACACTCCAGAGAGAACAGAGTGGTGAAGACAATATTGAGGTTCTTCAGCATTGCTTCATAGAAGTCTGGAGCTCCATGGAACTGAAAGACAGTGGCAAGCAAATGGTGTTTTAAGGTACATTTTACTGGCATGTGGGTGTAACCCTGTTAAAGGCATAGTCTGACATTTTAGAAAATACACTTATTTGCTTTTTTGCTGAGAGATACATGATAAGATCATGATGGGTGAGAACCAGAGGGGTGTGACATTTAACCGACAGGACAGCCAAAAGAAAAAATGACCATACTTTGTCCTGACTTTGTTTATTAAATAAATCTTATATATTAAAACTACATAAACATGTGGATGACAATATACTTAATGAACAATATTTTGACATTGATTAGATTTTTTTCTTATGTTTTAAGTGCACTTACGCCCTATACACACACACACACATATATACCTGTATATACTTTCTGGAATAAATAAAAAAGTATCTGTATATATATTTATATATGCAGCAAATATATATACATATGGCCAAAATGATACTTACACCCGACTGGTTCTCACCCCCGGAATATCAGTCTGTTAAATATGAAGCTACAGCAAGCAGCTGTTTGCTTATTTTAGCTCCCAGCAAACATAACAACCCATAAAACCACAAAGTGTTAGTTAGTAAGTTAGTTTTTACTTATTAAACAAATGAGATATAATGTATTAATTAGTGAGCTTTAGAGGTACTGGTTGGCAAGGTGTCTTACCTACCTAGCCAGTCTTAATGCTAAGCTAATCGGCTGCTGGCTGTAGCTTCATATTTACTGTACAGACATGAGATTGGTATCAATCTAACTTTCTGCAAGAAAAGGAATAAGCATATGACTCAAAATGTCAAACCATTCCTTTCCATGAATCCAAAACTGAATTCATATGACAGCAAAAAAAGATTGACTAACTGTATCAATATCCTACTCAAAAGTTCCAACCTTCATCATGAGTACCACAGTGTTGAGAGCGATCATGATCATGATGGAGTACTCGAACGGAGGCGAGACCACAAACTTCCACATCCTGTACTGGAAGGACTGCGTGTTCTCGGGCATGTAGCGTGTCAGAGGTTTGGCGTTTATGGCAAAGTCAATGCAAGCCCTCTGTAACAACAAACCACACTTCTGCTTCACAACTGCTCTCAATACCTTCAGAGGATGAAAGCATACATTCACTACTGATCATTCAAAATGTGCACTGGCATGAGCAGCTGGGACTGATCAAATTAGACAGAAAGAATAACTGAACCAATTATTGAACATGCATTTTGGTACCAGGTGCTAATTCTAGTTTAAAAACTGTGGATCTTAAGCTCAAAGAGTTGATACATAAGGAACAGACTTAAAAGATTATTTAAAATAGCGTCAAGCAACTGTAGTGGAAACTGATGGAGAACAGTTTGACGACAGGTGAATAACGTACAGAGGTGTTTTTATTGCCGGTTTTGGCTCCTGGCACCAGGGCTAAGTCCGCGCACGTTAGCTGCACAAGGTAACTAGCTAATGGCATCTAACATTAGTGTTGGCGGCAATTAGCAGGGGTTCACTGGAAAACTGCTGAGCCCCGTCCGTTTGCATGCCAGACAATATCAACTCCAAAACATATGATCCAGTTTCACCCAAATCCCTGATAAAGTCATGTTTCTGTACAGTAAGCCGGACCCAGAAACACCTTCCCTAAAGAAATAAGCTAAAACTGTTGCTGGAGATGAATGAATAACAGCATTGTGTAAAAGATACTGACTGTCAAAATATTTTTTTTTGCTGTCTGTCTTTGCTTTTACCTCATTCTTTTCCAAGCTGCACTCAGACAGGGCCTTGTCTCCCTGCTCCTGGAAGGTGATGATGATCAGAGCGACGAAGATGTTGACAAAGAAGAAAGGGAAGACCACAAAGTAGACCACGTAGAAAATAGACATTTCTATCCGGTAGCCTGGACTGGGACCCTGGTCTTCAAATGTTGCATCCACAGAGTGCTTCAAGACACTGCGGGGAGGGTAGAGCACAACAAAAAACACAGCTGAGAGACAGTAATACATCCAGTCTGTAATGTTATTCTCCAAAGCCACGGACAGACTAGGGCGTGCACAAAAATACCATGAATTATAAACTATATAACTGAACTCGTAAAAAATTTCCAAACATGAAACATGGAAGATGACCAAAATGATCCACTCCCCCCACACTGCCATTGAAAGGACATACATCTATTTCTGCAGGAAATGTTACTGGTAGCCTACAGGTAGTCATCAGAAAGGCGATGTTATGGTTATCTGACGAAAAGATTTAAATGTCTTGAGAAGATTTTTTTTTTGTCTTTAGTATGGTTCAAACTCCAAAAACAATGGATCCTACATTTCCCATAATGAAACTCATTAGTGTCTTTCCTTTGACTGTCCATGCCTGGTATATGCCCACATGTTTCAAACTGCTACAAACATCCACAACTCATAATGCAGGCTTTCTGTTAGACATGAAAAAAGCTGCACTTACGTTGGCCAGCCCTCCCCAGTGGAGACGGTGAAGAGGGTCAGGAACGCCCACAGCACGTTGTCATAATGGAACTCATATTTCTTCCACTCTCTTGGCATGGCTGCCACCTCATCTTTGTCATAGTCTAAGAACTGTCCTCTGGAAGACATGAAGGCATAAATAAAGCTGAGTGGGGTTAGACAGGTACAAGGTCTGATTTTGAACATTTAACAATTTAAAAGATTTTGAGACAAGAAATTAGGAAGTTGGGGGGTTTAGACCAACTTGCAGTCCTTCTCCAGGCCCTTGGACTCATCTGTACAGTAGAAGAATTTCCCCTTGAAGAGCTGAACTGCAATGACCGCAAAGATGAACATGAAGAGGATGTAAACAATGAGGATGTTCAGCACGTTCTTCAAAGAGTTGACCACACAGTCGAACACCGCCTGATGACACACAGAAATACACACACATTAGATCTAAAGTGGAAAACTAATATCTATTCACCGTGTCTGTCAGGAGGCTGCTTTCTTACCCAGAACTGTCTTTAAAATGGTACTCTTCATCTCAACCTGACTCTATACTTATCTGAGTGGGACTAACCTGCAGGCCCAGTTTGGCCAGTGGGAATAAGTTAATTATTTCCCAGTGGCCTGGCCTGCTTGTGGATCCAGACAGGGAGATCCATTAGCATATAGAGCTAAAAATTCATATTATATGTAAAGATCACTTTTTAACAATTCAAACACAAGATGGACGGTAAAAAAAAGATGAAGCTGAGCGGAAGAAAATAAAGAGAGGAAAGGCCCCAGGTTGACTGTAAACTACTAATACACTAGATATCAGGTCTGTCAGGAGAAAAAGTATGCTCCCTGTAGTTACAAAAGCCTGCAGCAATATATTATTAACAGTCAAACAAAGCAGAACAATGTAAACATAAAACTGCCCCAATGTGACTCCATTACTTTAAGAAAATAAGTCATGTATTCTGCGTAGGGTGCAAGACCTGCTCCTGTCAGAGACAGATAAACAAACACTCATCTTCTTTAAAACCTGCTGCTTGCCTTCCTTCAGAAGTCGAGTGCCACAGACAACGTTTGGAAGTCAAAAAGTATTCATAGACAGACCAACAGGTTTTAGGTAAGTTTGAGTTTTACTTAATAGCTGAGCTGATGGACCTTTTTCACAGCAGCCATTTTGACATGAAATAGTTGGGCAAAAATCAGTGTTACCAATGATACTAACAAAGGTTCTATTCAGGTCAAACAGAGTCAGGGTACTGTTATTGTGCATGTTGGCTTACTGGAAAGGCTCTGCTTCACTAGATGGAATGGAACCTTATGTTGTAAAAAAGCTTGATTATGGTGCTATGATACCCCAGCACAACTATTGCTTCTGTGGCAATACGATTTCCTGCCTTAACCACATTTGAACCCTGCTAACCTGGCTAAATGAATCAAAATAAACCAAGAAACAGCACTGGAGCAGAACCTTGAGTTTTGGCAGTCGCTTTATGGTCTTGAGAGGTCTGAGGACACGGAGAACCCTCAGTGACTTGATAGTGCTGATGTCTTTGCCTTTGGTCCCCCTGTAGAAAGCAAGCACAGTTGGCTCACACACAGAACTATCTAAAATCAACATGTAGCTCATCAGGTATTTTTCTGTTTTTACTAATATACAGCACACGTAGGAGAAATTGGTTTTTATAATTTACTTTTATGGGATGTTTCTGGGGTAGAAGTCAATCTTCAACCAGAGTCCCTGAACAGGATTAGTGGGGACAGATAATGGAGCAGCAGGAGGTGAACCTTGACAACCAAGGCCTTATTATCCTGTCACTCACATTTCCTTTGGTTACCATATATGGCTGCTTACTAATAATGTTAACCATTTGATTTTAATAAATATGGCTGGCACTGCTCTCATGAGACATATTGTAGACTTGTACAGGAAGGAAAATGTTGAGAACGACATTTCTAAGAGACCATGGTGTAGAGATATTTTATACTTAAAGGAAGAGTTCAACCTTTGGGGAAATACATTTGTTCGCTTTCTTTCAAACAGTGAGATGAGGAGATTGATATCAATCTCATGTCCAAATTTGAATCACAGAGCTGGAGTCAGGACATGGTTGGCCAAGCTAAGCATATAGATAAAGCAACAGTACCCTGTCTTTTTCTATAGTGAAAAAAGGCCTACAAACACCTCTAAAGCCCATTTTGTCAAGTGTATAAAGAAGAAAACATCACTTACTGCCTCTTTAACACATTGACACAAGACTGGTATCAATCTTATCTCAACCTCAGAAAAAAACAAATTTTAGGGTTTTTTTCTGAGTTATTATGCAGTGACATTTTAATCATTTATTACAACCAAACCATAATTACTTCTTCTTGCCAAACGTACTCCCACTGTTATTTTTCCATTACTTAAACTGAAACAAAAATAGGGTATGTTCAGCAGAATATTCTCTATAGTCTCTTGTAAAACAATGTACGGTAGAAAGGCTAAACAGCAGATTCTATCAAAAACAAAACATCTAAAGCTGTATAGTAGGTATAAATGTATTGCATGTGTATGACTGTACGGGGCGGAGGGAAAACATTTCAGTGACACTAACTGGGGCAGGCTATGTAGGACTTGTCATGTTATTCCTGAGCAGTACACACAACCTCACACAGGGTCATGCATCTCCTAGTCATTCAGCTGTGTATATCATGTAATCTTGGTTTACATGAACAAGTCAGTCTCAAATCTCTGTTTGAACACATGCAATCACTAAGTTGGTTCACAGAAAGGTCTCATTTGTCCTTCTGTAAAAAGAAGACTGCATTTCAACATCTCCTTTCCATGCAAATATGGTCACACTTAAGACTGTGCATCAGGGATCTTAATCAAAAAGATGTCTTGAATGGGCATTTCAGTGATTAAGATCTTAGTGATAAAAATCTGAAAGTAATTTACCACCTAAAGGAAAACACAATCAGTCATCAACTGAGGTGAGATGTTTGAGTAAACCTCTGTGAGTTGCACTGTTGGTCATTGGTACACTTTGTATTTCTTTTCTTCTGCATATTTCTCATTTCTCATGTCTTTGCACAGAAACATATCACAAGCAGAGCATTTTCGACGAAATGATCAACCACCACTGTCCAGCAAATAAGAATAGTTGCTTCTCCTCCTGTATGTGTCTATGATTTCTTTACACTACAAACTTGAGAACAGCATCATGTCAAAGTGCTAACAATACCTGGCAGAAAGTCAGTGTTTTTGTTTTTTTTTTTAAATAGTACACCTGATTAACATGAACTCTCCCAACAACATTCTTAAGATAATCTGAAAATATGCTTCTTACTATGAGTGGTGGGATCCTACATAAACACACAATTTTCTGCCAAAGTTTGGACAGTTTTTGGTTATTTCAATATTGTTTTATCACTGATCTGGTTACTGGTTTGAAGTGTGCAGGGCAAAAATGTCAAACATGTCTACACACCAATCTGAATTTAGCAATATTTGAATCAAAATCTGATGACAGTCATGGCAAAATAAGCAACAGATAACCTCAGTTATCTGAAGTTGTCTATTGAATCTGATTAAACCACATCCACACAGCCCTGACGAAGCATGTTAAGGTTTTTTTGTTTTGTTTTAAACTATTAACTAAAACTAAAAATGTTCTTTTCTCAACTTTAACTCTGTTGCTTATTTTGTCATGAACATACAGAAATAGAGAGATGATTTGACATCAGGCTTCCCACATGTTTTGCAAAAAACTCTCAATAAACTAAATCTATTCTCTTTGGGCTCTGTAAAAAACTCAGAGATTGGTTCAGTATATACAAGCAGGTCTTCATCTTTGATATATCGTTAAAGGTGTGACTATGGATCCTTTCATACAGTGGAAGTTGCACAGAACAACAAAGGCATCTGTAAACAGGAAAGTCACAGCCTTCTTTATGCTCTCTTACAATACTGTTGAACAGCTTGGCTCCCAAAGCTATCTACTGCAGTAGAATACCAAGATTAAACTATACAATATCTGCCCGATTATGACTCAAATCTGTCATATGTGGGGCATTTGGTAAAAAAATGAGTGTCAGGCAGGACAATTGCTTGTTTGTAGTGTGTCATAGTGGAGGACAATGAGTTTGTTACCTCATGATTTAACAGAATTTTTTTGCTTTTCCTTGGCAACTATGAACAACAAGATAAATGTCAGCCAATACTGATGTTCAGCCAATACATTGTACATCTCTACTTGTCACTGACCCATAGGAGCACAGAGCAGTTTTGCAAATTGACAGATGCAACCGAGCTCTGAGGTGTTTTAGATGCTGTTTAGTGGTGCTGTTTATCGACCCACCTTTTGCCTTTTGACCCCTTTACAAGGGAACAAGATATGGGATATAGAGCAGAATGTCTTAAAAGACAAATGACATAAAGACAACAGTATTGGTAATCCTAGCTTCTTGGAATTATGGCTTCTTCTTCGAAATCATTCCAAAAGCATCAAAAGATACAGGCCTAAAGCTTCTGATAGGCCTGTGCCGAATAAGCACTTTAGGAAGCCCTGGAAAAAATGATAAGGAACTAATTTCGCTGAGCCGAAGACCTGAGGTTTAAACCCTAAGCAAATACACTAAGGGATTAACAAAATATCCTTTCCTCTGTACATATTGATCGAAGTAAACATTCAATACAGAGAGTCAAATTGTGTGTTCTTGTCCCAACGAATGTGTATCCTGCCTACTGTACAGTTTGTAAGCATCTACTCATGTCATAAAATTACATAAACACGAAGCCAACAAGATGAACACTGACAGAATGCAGCTGCACAGCGTCTATCAGTGAACTGTTCCTGTTTTAAGTTTTTCATTGGTGTATATCAGGTTATTTATAGTCCACCACAGCACTAAAATGCCCTATTCAAATACTTTCACATCACAACACAACAAGATTTACCGTATGTAGACCTAAAAAAACCTGACAATAGGATTTAGTTTGAGCTTCTGTCTCAATACGAAAAGAGTTTTGTTACTGGGAATTCTCGTTGAAATGTCTTGTGTAATCACACCCAGGGCTCATTGTCCATCCATCCATTTTCCGCCGCTTATACAGGGCTGGGTTGTGGTGGCAGCATGCTTAGCAAGGTAGTCCAGCCATCCCTCTCCCTGACAACATCTTTCAGCTCCCCCTGGGGGATCCAGAGGCATTCCCAAGCCGGATGGGATATACATTACAATCCCTCTAGAATGTTGTAGGTCTTTGAGGGACTCTGACAAGCATGGGGAGGCAGGAGTTGGAAGAGAGGGAGAAGCCTGACTCATATTCCTGGCAGAGGTCTCCTAAGTAGTCAGGAAGCTCTTCAGTGGCAGGGTGCCAGGTGTGGATGAGATTCACCCTGAGATGCTGAAGGATCTGAACCTTATTGGACTGTTTTGACTGGCATGCCTCTTCACTGTTGTGTGGATGTGGTAGACTCGGGGTGGTGGTTCCCAGAAGAGAAGGGAAGGGTGTGCTCCAGTTATTGGAGTATTATACTACTCAGTTTCCCTGGGAAAGTTTATGCCAGGAAGTGCTGTCATGTTGGTGTACCTCAGATCCAGGAGAAGCGAGGTGGATTTAGTAGTGGTAAAAGCAAAACCTATGACTTCAGTGGCTAGTATTAAATGTCTCCTACGAGGACAATTTCTGCAACCGATTATAGTGAACAGTTCCAAATGTTGCCACAGGCTCTCTAGAAGCCCCAGAAAACCCTAGACTCCACTTTGAGAACCACTGCAATTAGCTGTTTGAAGACAAACAGCATGGCATCCATGTGATATGATGACTTAACTTTTGTCTTTCCATGTGCCCTTATGAGGTCGCTTTACTCCAATCACAAACACATGCAACAACTTCCATGCTCTGATGCACATTGGTCTAGCATGCGTTCACAGTGACATAGGACCAGAGGGTTTTTAGCCCAGACACTCACACAGTTATAATGAGGGCTAAGAGAACAATCACATAATATATTCTGATAGCTTTCAAAGAATACCCCTCAACAGCCATATATATATAGCGAGGAGGCAGGAGAGAAAGTGAGGTTGGACTCGTTACAGGGGCTAAAATGTGACAAAAGTCTGTCAGGTGCTTTGGGGGATGTGAAAGTTCAAATGATAATGAGGACATCTGGCTCAGATGTGGCGGGCCATAACTGTTCATCATTTTCCTGGAACGGGAACAGAGAGCTGGGCCCTGAAAGGAAAATCTGTCTTCCAACTGTCTCAGCACTGCTCTATTTTTACCTCCATTACACTCCAGAGTCTCTCCCTCTCTCTCTATTCCGGAGAGTATGGATTACATTACTCAGCAAACCAGCTGCATTACAAAATAATTTAAGGGATGGGTTAATTTTTTAAGTCTATCTTAATACAATACTTGCATGCCATATGTACATTGGAAGTGTTATAGGTTCCTCATCTCCAACTAAACTATACAGTGACTACACTGTAATGATCATAAACAAATTTTAAAGGCAGAACAAATGCAAATAATGTCAAGGCAAACTTCAGAATGTATTTTTTTACAGGACGAGGACTG